TTATTCTGTGTGAGCCCTGGTGTGGGTGATTGTGACTGAGTCTGATTGTCAGGCAGGACTATCCATTGGACTCGACAAAGGAGATTGAGCTCCATATCCTTATAATACAAAGGCTTAATATCAGGAATCGACTTGTTTGAGTGGCTCAGTATATAAGCTACCTACTTAAGATAGGCAGGAGAATAAGTGCTTGATCTTCATGAAATCCTTGGTCTAAGCAATTAGTGAATTGAGTGGAGAGCTTCAATCCGGGAACAGGTAAACAAAGTTGGATACTTAGGAGGAATCAAGATTAAGATTTAAAAAAATATGTATATATATATATATATATATATATATATAGGCAATCAGAAGAGAAACTATGATGTATTTCTCGTTACCATGGATTTCTGTTTACCTATATAGATTCACTTGAGGTTGTATTGTTTGTGCAGGGTAAGGAACTTTCAAATCAAAACGGTGACAAGACCTTGATCTCAAACGGTCATCTCTACGATTGCCGACCATTAACCGTTTGGAGAGCACCACTGAATGAGCTTCCCCTGGTCTAGGCCCAAATAACTCTTCCAGGCGGACAAGGCACCTCGTCAGAGGTGAAGCTGATGCGGCTAGTCCGAAAACGGTAAAGCCTTTGGCTCCCGATTCTTGGGGCCACCTAGAAATTATCTCTACCTCTGAGGTAGCCTTGCTAAAGCTACGAAAATCCACCTCCCCGTGATTGCCTCCCTGTCTTCCATTCCACATCGTCACCTCTTTTGATACCCATTCATCCTCTTCTGGGAGCTCTATCTCACTATCAGAGCATCCTTTCTCACCGTACACGCGATTATCCGAACACGCGAATCTTCGACCGACTTCGAGCGCATAGAATCAGTTGATTGATAGAATGGCTGCTGTGAGTGCTCTCCCCATGACATGGCCCCTTCTATTATCCGCTATTTGCCCATCTCCCTCGCACTGTTCACGGCTTTCCACAAGCGAGCATAAGCTTCGCATTATTTGCAACACCTTGCCAGATAGCCCATGGCCACTTCTGCCTTTCTCGCATTCTCCGTGTTGCCTTGCTCCCAAGCCCGCCTTCTCCCCGCTCGCGTGTTGTCCCGCCGTTGCGCCCCGTTAGATGGCCTCAACTTCGAGATCCGCAACTCCACGTTCATATGCACTTCCACGAAAATGCGATTACCCCGACTGCGCAGTCGGCCACTTTGAAGAAAACATTAGTTAACACATCCCCAACAGCCGCGAGCATACAATAACCCGGGCCCAGGCTACCTTCAGAATGGTGCTGGTGGTCTTCCTCCCACTGGTGCTGCACCACTTTTGCCCAACCAGGGTCGCGTCCTTCAAACCGGTCCCCTAAGAGTTCTGTGTATTGCCGATGTTCGAGGTTGGTAATTATGGGCGAAGCAGTCAGACAAACACTGAACACCATATAGGAAACCTGAGATCACTCAATGATCTTGCGAAACAAGCCCGAGCTGACCATATCATCCACACCGGTGATTTTGGTTTCTACGACGACACTTCCCTGGAACGAATCGCCGAGAAGACGCTTAAGCATGTTGCGCAGTATTCGCCCTTGATTTCCGAGCCTGTAAAGAAGGCTATTCAACAAGGAGGACCAGGCCCCGTAAAGTCCCGATTCCCGCCAAATGAGCTTCCTCTCTCGGAGCTGCCTCTCCTTATCAGCGGTGAGGTCAAGCTTGATGTTCCCGTCTATACCGTCTGGGGTGCTTGCGAAGATGTCCGAGTACTAGAGAAGTTCCGAACCGGCGAGTACAAGGTCCCTAACCTGCACATCATCGACGAGGCTCGATCAATGCTACTGGAGGTTGGCGGTGTCAAGTTGCGACTACTTGGTCTTGGTGGTGCTGTTGTCATGCATAAGCTTTTTGATAATGGCGAAGGCCGCACTACCATTGCTGGTGGTCAGGGTACTATGTGGACAACTCTCCTGCAAATGGGTGAGCTTGTCGACACGGCGCACCGAGTTTACGATCCTACCGAAACCCGCATCTTTATCACACATGCGTCTCCTGCTCGTGAGGGTATTTTGAACCAGCTCTCAGTGACCCTTAAGGCCGACTTCTCTATCTCTGCCGGACTCCACTTCCGATATGGCAGTTCTTACAATGAGTTCAGCGTCAACCCTACTCTCGACCATTACCGTGGCAAGCTTGCTGCCTCCAAGGCTTCTTTCAACGACGTTTGGGAGACTGTCAAGAGTGAGGTGGAACCTGCTATCCAGCAGAATGAGGCCCAACAGAACCTTCTGAAGAATGCCCTGCAAATCGTCGAGAAGATGCCAACCACTGCTGCTGGTGGCAACCCCTTTGGTGGCCCGGCTGCTGGCCAGGCCTCCCTCGGACAAGTCGACGAGAGTGCCTTCAAGAATATGTGGAACTTTAACCTTGCTGATGCGGCTTTTGGCTACCTGGTTCTCGAGATTCAGGATGGCCGTATTGGTACTGAGATGCGTGCTCAAGGCTTCAACTTCTCTCACCGTGGCGCCAAGCAGCAGCCCGGCATTCCTCCCACCACAGCTGGCCCAGCCGGTATTCCTTCACCTGCCCCTCCCTCGACCCAGTCCAGCGTCCCCCCTCCTACCAGCCGACAGCCTTCAACAGTCCAGGCTGCTAAGCCAGCTGTCGCAACTCCTCTGACCGGCCCACCCAAGCCAGCGACTCCCCAACCTGCCCCAAGCTCGAGCAGTCCTGCTCCCGCTCCCCCCAGCAAAGACACCGAGAAGGCCACAGCTCCGGCTTCCGCTCCAGCTAACGGTTCAGCGCACCCTGAACGTGTTTCTTCTCCCGCTCCTAAGACACCTGCCTCGGACATCATCGGTCTTTTCATTATGAACGTTAACACCGAGGATCAGTGCCGAGAACTGTTCAGCGAGGAGGACAAGAACAAGATTCTCAAGGTTGACAAGTGGGGTAATTCAAACAAGGTTGTTCAGTTCAAGACAGCAGAGGACCGTGATGCTGCTTTGGCCAGACTTCCTGAGGATGTCAAGACTAGAACCCAGGAGGACCGATCCAAGCCTCTGGTCAAGATTTTCCAACATCGCGAGGGCAAGACATATGCCAACCGAGGTGGTGCTGGTAACTGGGGTGCCAGCGGACGCGGCGGTGCCACCAACACCAGTGGATATCGCAGCGCTGGAGGAGCCAGTGACTCCGAATCTAACCGACGCGGTGGACGAGGTGGTCGCGGTCGTGGCGGAGATCGTGGACGGGGTGGACGTGGTCGAGGAGGCCTCAAGGGCGAGGGAGGCACCTCTTCACCTGCCGCCGCTCCCGCCACACCCGCCGCCGATTAATATCATACTCAAAATTTGAGTGTCACTACATAACCGTTCTGAGGCCTTGGTCCTTTCCATGCGCCTTTTATTATCTTTGCCTGCTTTTTTTGGGCATCACCTGTTTGTTACGCCTTGATCTGATCTGATAGGGGCTTAAGCAACAGGAAAAGCGAGGATATCTCACCGGCCTCGTTTTCATGTATCGTGTACCTAATGAGATTTCGGAGTCGAAAATCCTTGACATCGAGGGTACGGCTTCTTTAGTTTTGACCTGTATGGAGTTCAGTTGTGAAGAGAATTAAAAAAAACATCGTTCTGGGCCCTAGAAAGCATTTCAGAGACGTGGATGTGATGATGACGTTCACGGAAGCTGGATTAGGGGATTAGGTTGAGGACGATTTGGAATGAATTAACTTCCTATTGTACAATGCTAGACTCTGATTGACTATTCGTGATGCTGATCGTGATTGATGGACTATTTTACAGACTAAATTACATGTGTATCTTTTAGCCACCTCATACAGGCTTCATGCCCTTGTGAATAGCGGCAATACCACCAGTCAGGTCCTCGTAGCCTTCTCCAGCAACGACAAAACCTGCATCCTTGATCATGTTTCTGAACTCGGTCTGGCTAGGAAATCTCTCAATACTCTCGACCAGATACTGATAGCTGTCGCGGTCCCCTGCCACTAGTTGACCGATTAAAGGGATGCCCTTGAAGGACCACTGCTTATAGATCGTGTTGAAGATGGGGTGCTTGTCAACCTTTGAGAACTCAAGGCAGGCAAACACACCACCAGGCTTCAAAACCCGATGGGCTTCCTTCAAAGCAGCAGGGATGTTGGAGAAGTTGCGAATACCGAAGGCAACTGTGTAAAGATCGAGCGAGTTATCCTCAATCTGAGAGGGGAGGACTTCGGCGTTTGCCTCGAGAAAAGAGAGGGCGGATTGGTGGGACGCGGGGAGTGCAAGAGAACGCTGGCGACCAACTGCCAGCATATCGGGGTTGATGTCGGAGATAATAACGGAGACATTGGGGTTGCAGTTGAACTCGTGGGCGTGCTGAAGGTGTCGGAAAGCGATATCGCCAGTTCCGCCAGCAACGTCGAGAATGCGCTGAGGTTGACCAGGGGGGTTCGTAGCACCAGGGTTGAGGGAAGAGATAAAGTAGTCCCTACGCTTCGTTGTTAGTTTGTTACACCGTGCGGTATAATTTAAAGGGACTTAACGCACTTCCATAGACGATGAATACCCAGAGACATGAAATCGTTCATCTTATCATAGGATTCGGCGACACTTGTAAATACACCAGCAACACGCTGCTGCTTCTCTGCTTCAGTGACAGTCTCATATCCGAAGTGGGTAGGTCGATCAGATGTCGGGGTTGATTTGTCGCCACGGACGGCATTGGTAGAGCAAAATGGCCGGACGAAAGTAGGAGAACATCTCGAGGGTTTCAGTGTGCGAGAAAAGCCCCGGAGGGCTGTGCGCGAGGCCATTGTGAATGTAGTTGGGCCTCGGAGGTTATGGGAAGCTCTGGTTGAGGTCAGTTCGAAAATCATACGAGGCTGAGAGTTGGAGTTTTGCGGTGGGTCAGAAATCGTGGCGCGCCAGCCTTGTAGCCACAGTGGCTGACATTTTTCTCAATAGACAGACTGGCAGTTAAGAAGGGTAATGGAGGTATCCCATCTCACCTTTAGACGCTTTCCCCAGAGTTGGCAACAGTTGAAGCATTACCCTTGTTCTTTTCTTGGCGGTGCTTAAAGATAGCACGAATGAAGGTGTGCACCCGGGTCTTCAACCACCAGGCAAGGAGTGCGAAAATTGCGAAGAGGGTGAGGAATAGAATTGAGATGGCTACTGCTGGACTGGGAGTCATATCGAAAGTCGTTTCAGAGTGTTGGGCGAGATGTTGTTGTAGGGGATGTCTTTCACGGTGTTGTTTTGCAAAGATTAGGAAAGTGGGAGATTGAAGATATTTCTCTATTACTTCAACTGCATTCTTGGTCAATTTTGACAGTGATTCTATCTACTGGTTGCCGTGGTGCATATTGCTATATGTTGATTGTGTTTGAGATTCACTGGCAGCTGGTGACAGCTGCATTTAAAAGTGGCAGATGCTAGAGCTGGGACTGGATCCATCCATGGAGATCTGGAGTTTATCGCGAGTGTGGGGTAGAGCGATAAGAACTTTGTGTGGGGGATAAGTCGGGGTCCTCATGGCTATCATGGGCTTGGGCTTCATGGCCGGCATCAAACATGACATGATGAATGGTTGGTCAAGTCAGGAGGCACGGTGTAAGGTCTGACAAGGAAGTCAACCAATTACCGAATAAGTAAGACACCCTTGAAAACAAATGCTGGCTGAGTATGCCGAACATCGTCAAACCACGGCTTATTACTATCTCGCCGTCTCGGCTTTCACGGGTTGGAGTCGGCTCAGGATGACGTCGCTTCCTCGCGGTATCAGACACAACAACCCCTCGGTAATACGGTCTACTATCTATCTGGCATATCATTGACGTCTAGCAATTTGAATAAAAGAAAACATAGCCCAGATTCCAATTGACCCTCCAGAAACCCAAGCACCCACATACACATACATCATGAAGTCCCGAGCTCTGCGTCAAGTCGCCCTGCGGCGGGCCACCCTTTCTAGACCACATGTAACACCCCTTGCTATCCGATCAGCCAGCAGTGTATCGCAACGGCCCAATTCCAACTTTGTCTCCTTTCCTGGTGCTTTGAAGAGCGCATTCACAAGCTCTCTCAAATTCGAAGACCCCGAGTCGTATCCTGCCTTATCGACGTATCGCGTTGTAGACCAGCATGGAGTTGTGGTGGATGAATCGTTCAAACCTGATATCTCCGATGAGGAGGTTATTCGTCTATACAAAGATATGGTCTTCATCTCAATCATGGACCTGATTATGTTTGATGCGCAAAGACAAGGTCGATTGAGCTTCTATATGGTTAGTGCTGGCGAGGAGGCCGTCAGCATTGGAAGTTCAAGCGTGCTCGACAAAGACGATGTCATGTTCTGTCAATACAGAGAACAAGGCGTGTTTAAGGAGCGAGGATTTACAGCCAAGGATTTCATGAGCCAATTGTTTGGCAACAAGAACGACCCAAGTCGAGGACGAAGCATGCCTGTCCATTACGGAAGCAAAGAGCTGAATATTGTGAGTACGATGCGAGTTGAAACCAACAGTCCAAAACTAACACAGTGGCATAGCATTCAATTTCATCTCCATTAGCGACACAACTTCCCCAGGCTTCCGGTGCCGCCTATGCTCTTAAGATGCAAAAGCTTCAAGACCCCAGCTCCAAAGCTCGTGTGGTAGCAGCGTACTTTGGTGAGGGTGCGGCCAGTGAAGGAGACTTCCACGCTGCTCTCAACATTGCCGCAACACGATCGTGCCCTGTTATCTTCATCTGCAGAAACAACGGATATGCTATCTCAACGCCTACACTAGACCAATACCGTGGTGATGGTATCGCCAGCCGTGGTATTGGCTACGGTATCGATACAATCCGAATAGATGGTAACGATATCTGGGCTGTCAGAGAAGCTACAAAGAAGGCACGTGAGATGGCCCTTGAAGATGGTGGCAAGCCAGTTCTCATTGAAGCCATGACCTACCGTGTCTCTCATCACAGCACATCAGACGACTCATTCGCCTACCGTGCGCGCGTAGAAGTCGAGGATTGGAAGCGTCGCGATAACCCTATTACTCGACTACGAAAGTGGATGGAAGCAAAGGGTATCTGGGATGAAGCTAAGGAGAAGGAGGCTCGCAGTGATCTTCGCAAGGAGATATTGAAGGCGTTCAGTGAGGCAGAGCGGGAGAAGAAGCCCCCAATTCGAGGCATGTTTGAGGATATCTACGAAGAGTTGACAGATGACTTGAAGGCGCAGATGAAGGAGCTTAAGGAGATGTTGGATAAGTATCCTGAGGAGTATGATGTTGCTGAGTTCGAGGGTGGTAAGGATAGCTTGAAGCCATAAGATAGAAGTTGTAATGGGGCGATGAATAGCCCAGCCGATGCATAATCAAAGAACAATCTCGAATGGTATTCTAATCATGTTCAGTAAAAATTTCAACCAGTGGCGTATAGTAACAAGTGACATCAGTTTGTGGTTTTTCTTCTTAGTAATGTGTTGTGCATCCGCCAGCTGACCTTGGTTTCGAGTATCTGTGGAGCTTATTATGGCCCAAAGATGTTCTTCTGAAAACTATAACAAGCTTAGATCTTATGCAAATACTAAGGTAGTCGGTTCGTCCATCCCGTCTAGTACAACGAGATTTAAAGGCCAAAGTACCTTGTCGTCACGCGGGCAGCTCAGAATTATCCAAACAGCGATAAAATGAATCATCCGAGAATGACGATAAGCCTCAGTGAGCCAGAGTCAGACAGCCGTCTCATCTTTGTGCTCTGAATATGATTTATATCAAACGACATCAGATTTTAGTCAAGTAGTTTGAGGCTCTCTTGGCCCATTCGGCCGTGCAATATCCGATGTTGATGGCTAGAGATGGTTGTCGCATTCATTAGCGTGGCCTCTTCAGTGGGTTTTACTGAGTAAGGTATGATAGACGCCACTATGGACCTAAGCGGGCCGCTCCACATGCTGAGAACGGATCTCAAGCCGCACCTTGATAATATTGTTTCGTGAATGTTGAATCACTTTGGACTGTGGATTTTTATACACAGAAATTAATTTCAGTAGTAACTCCTATCCAAGAGGACTCCATAAGTATGGTTATTCAATATATGACAACAGTTGTGACTAAAAGGGATGATAACTGCATCATGTAGTGTGAACAGAAACGGCACAAGACCACCCAGCCATGTTAGAAACAGAGGCCCCTCAGCCCCTCTCTAAGCTGGCACAGTGCATGTTTGTTTGCAGTCGACAAGGCTGGCTCAACAGAATCACAGTGCCTTGAGCTCGTGGAATACATGACAAGTCTCCAGCTTTATCGCAAACGTCGTACTCCGTACACTTAGTGCTGCATGTGTTTTTCGCCTCGAGCCGTGTGTCCAGTGTCCTCAGGGCCGCAGATAGTGGAGTCGACCAGCTCACACACGTCAACCCGACTTGACCGTCCGTCAACCACCACATCCATCCAATTGAAGAGCCATCATCCTCCCTCTTCTCTCCCCAGACAAGACTCGTATCTGTAAACCCAAAACCCAAAAAACACCACTCACCTTCCTCCTCCTCCCACCTTATTCTCACCTTCAGAGTGGCATTTCTCTCCGAGACTTTATTCTGTAACTTCAAGGCTGGCCTCATCTGCAGCACAGAAACATATACTTAAACCGCATCATCTCTACACCGTAACTAATCGATAACCCGCTATCGCTCTCGTCATCTGTTCATCGCCTTCTCGACTTTTGGAGAGAAACAACGACCCCGCCGCGCCCGCGCCTGCCCGCTGCCTTCCTGATGGCGTAGGTCGTCTGGGCATGGCAGAACGAACATCGGCAGGTGATAACGAAGTGCGACTTCCTTCTACCTCGACAACCTCAACTGCCAATCTCTCTCCCGCTTCCGCCGCTTCAGCCCATAGGTAGGGTCAACCCTTTTATCCTTCCCCCGTCTGTTATCCATCTTCATCCTTGACCTGTCACTCGACTGCACTGCACTGGCCTACGCCTGCTTCACTTCACATCACATCACTGCACTTCACTTTCTCATTTATTCACCTCGTATCATCTGCCTGCGTCTGCTTCTGCGTTTGCGTCTCCGTCTCGTCTGTTACTCACCCTGTCGCTCCGCTCTTTGCGTCGCTCAAACGGGACAGACACCCTCGTCATCCCAGCACCGCCGCTGCTCGGCTCGTGGCTGCTCTGCTACGTTGCTGATTCACGCACATCGAGACAATAAACCGCAAAAAGCATTTCGCACTTCCCAAGAAACCTGCACGCACGCCTGTCTGTAGTCAACTGCTGTTTTGTCCACCAAGACTTTTTGATGTTGGCCCGAAGACTATCTTGCAGCTAGCTATAGCTGTTTAATAGCCTCCTGCATTGACGAAGCTCTGTCATCCTTGGCCACAATCCAGGCTGTTGTAGAGCAAACACTGTCTTTGAAGCATTTGGCTTTTTCAGCCACGGCTCGTGCTCGTGCTTCCTCTTTCTTCTTTTCCCTCCATCTTCCGTGCAACATCCGTCAACATCATCTCACTCATCTTCCCCATTATTTGCCTTAACTCGCAGATGTATCGTCAAGCTCACGACAATTATGTCTTCTAGAATCACCAGATCTTCGGCTCGTCAAGCAGCGAGTCAGGTAGCCCAAACTAACAATATTGCTCCTGCCGCTGCTGACGTCCCGACCGTACCCTCCACTACTCCATCCTCACGCAAGCGAAAAGGGCTCGCCGCCGAGAAGAGCCCCAACGACGCATTACCACCCTCTGGGTCTTCAGGTCGACGGTCCAAGAGACAAAAGATCCCCGAAGCCGTTCCACCTCCGAACGCCAACAATAACAATCACACCACATCCAGATCTCGGCGAAAGGGAAAGCCCGCTGTTGATATGGACAGCCCGGAGTAAGTCTTTGACGCAAAGTGCCCGTAGTTCATGGCCTGGATTCAATGTATTAACGACCCTAGTAACAACCACCCCGGATCTGCGCATCCTGCAGGGCCCTCCATCCCCTCAGGTTCTTCTAGCAGAAAATCGAGCCGTTCTAAGAAGGGCACGGGACCTCCATCAGGTTTGTATATCCCGTGGATAAGTTGGCTCTGTTGAAGCACAGAACTGACGATGACTGTAGATCCCACATCTGGTACAACTCTGACCACCCGAAGATCGAAACGGAACCTTGACAGCGCAGTTGATCAAGATACACCGATGACGGGTACCGACGAGAACAAAGACCCAGGACCACCACCACCCCCTCCTCCTCCCATCGATCACCACGACGATGACGATAGCGAAGACAATGACGATGACGAAGATGAAGAGGGATCACGGAGGTACGACGACGACGAAGACGACGACGACGACGACGATCCTTTTGGCGGATTTGGTGGCCCTCCAGGCAGTTTATCCAGCACGCTTAGAGCACTAACAGGGATGATGTCTGGCCTAACATCTCGATTCCGGGAAATTCTTCACAATCTGCGAGTTGATGATCTCTCAGTACAGCTAATAGCTCTGCAAGAGCTATCAGAAATACTTCTAGTGTCCAACGAAGACAACCTCTCTGGCCACTTCTCGCCCGATGCATATGTTAAGGAGCTGGTTTCCCTCATGAACAAGGAAGAAAGCCCCGAGATCATGTTACTCGCGTGCCGTTGCTTGGCAAATTTGATGGAGGCTTTGCCTGCCAGTGTTGCGAACGTCGTCTATGGAAGCGCCGTCCCTGTCCTGTGCCAAAAACTCCTCGAAATTTCTTTTATCGATTTGGCAGAGCAGGCCTTGAGCACATTGGAGAAGATATCAGTCGAATATCCTACCAGCATTGTTCGTGAGGGTGGCCTCACTGCTTGTTTGTCTTATCTCGACTTCTTTGCTACCGGCACGCAAAGAACTGCCGTTACTACCGCAGCAAACTGTTGCCGCAACATCCCCGAAGACTCTTTCCCAGTAGTACGAGATGTTATGCCTACACTTCTTAACGTTCTCAATAGCAGTGATCAGCGGGTCGTGGAGCAGGCCTCGCTTTGCGTCTCCGGCATCGTTGAGAGTTTTAAGTACCATCCCTCCAAACTTGAGGAACTTGTTAGCGTCGACCTTCTTCGAGGCGTGCTGCGACTTCTTGTTCCCGGTACGACCAACATGATCGGCTCCAGTATCCATACACAATTTCTCCGAGTTTTGGCCTTCACTGCGCGAGCTAGCCCTCGTCTTTCCGCGGAGCTCTTCAAGCTTAATGTGGTAGAGACATTGTATCAAATCCTGACCGGAGTTTCACCACCCAGCGGTACCGAAGATGTTGCCTCCAAACTGGACAGTGTTGTAATCATGCAGGCTCTCATCCATCGACCACGAGAGCAGATCATTGAGACGCTCAATGTTATTTGCGAATTACTACCTAACCTACCACGAAACGCAGATCCCTCGTACGGTGATTTTGTTGAACTTCAAGCCTCTGCAGATCCTACAAACTCGGCAGCCAGTGGGGGAAGGAACCGCAGGTCTACAAACGAAAAGCGCATTGAGTTTCTTGAAGAGTGCAAAGACGAAGTTCGCCGTTTTGCGCTCATCATCTTCCCTACTTTGACGGACGCGTTCTCCAGCACTGTCAACTTGAGCGTCCGCCAAAAGGTCCTCACAGCACAATTGAAGATGCTCTCGAATCTTGATGAGGACATCTTAGTTGAGGCGCTTACTCCGGTACCTTATGCCTCTTTCCTTGCTTCTATTCTTTCGCAACAAGACCACACATCTCTGGTTATGCTTGGCCTTCAAGCGGCCGAGCTGTTACTAAGCCGACTCGACAAGATCTACCGTTATCAATTCTATCGCGAGGGAGTCTTCCTTGAGATCACCAAGATTGCTGAGGAGGAAGAGGCAGTTGAAGAGAAGCCAGGTAAGGGCGAAAAACAGGAGTCTCAGGGCGAACAAGCAACAGAACAAGACAAAGAACAGTCCTCGGACCAGGAATCTGAGCATGAGGAAGACGAAGAAGATGAGGAGCGCGAGTCCTCTGATGATGAGGAGGACGAAGACGAAGAGCATGATAACGAGAATGGCGAGGCGCAGAATGAGGACATGTCCCCTGTTAGCTCCCGGGGATCCACCATGTCTCTCGAGGTCCCTCTCCATCGTCTTGTCTCCGACGTGCGATCCATGAAATCTCGAACTCGAGACGTCGCCAAAAAGTTCTTAGAGACCCATGAGACTGAAGGCCATGGCCAGGCTATGAAGCTCAAGGCAACAGCAATCCTTGATGCTCTTTCAGAGTTGGCTGGTGAGCTTGAGACTTTCTACCTCAAACCGATGCCCGGCAACGTTGCGGCCGATAAAGGAAAGGAACTGTTCACCAAGCTTGCATCATATTTCGATACCGACGTCTTGGAAAGTGTTACGAGCGCAGAACTTCTGGCATCCGGTCTTGTTCGTGTGCTTCTAGAGGTTTTCAGCAATCCTGACGAGGAACTGGCCCGTGCCGCTCAGTCAACGTTCCTGGAAGTCTTCATGGCATACACCGTCAAGTCGAAGCCAAAAACTGCAACTGCAGAATCTCCGGCGACGCCTTTCAGCGTCATGATTCACAAGCTTCAGGACTTGCTCAGTAGGTCAGAGCATTTTGAGGTTATCACGGTGCATCATAACACATTTGACGGCAACCACAGCAGTCCTGCCTCCATGCTTGGGAAGCAGATTCGACTTCGTCTTGTTGCCGATGATGATTCCGAAATACCTCGACCGTACCGTAATATAATGGTGTCAATTCATGCCATTGCGACTTTCAAATCCCTTGATGACTATTTACGACCTAGGATCAGTATCAATGAGCGATCTCGTGGCTCCGCCCGCAGAGACGGAGTTGCTCGAGCACTTGCCGCTATGGCAAACAGCGCGGGTCTTCCTCTGAGTAGCGCAGCAGCAGCCCGCCTAGCAGCAGCTGAACGATCAGGCCCGTTTTCGAGCGGACCTCCGGTGCCGCCGCCGCCTGCTGCTACAACGCCATCTGGCTCCCGAGCACTTCGCAAATCAAAGTCACTGGCTGCCCCTGCTACACCAGATCAATCTGCTGGACCGTCTCGCGATAAAGGGGCGCTTAGACGCTCCTCAAGACGGCATGACGCCGCTAACACACCCCCGGCTCCTCGACCTCCGCCTGTTGATGACGAGGAAATGCAGGATACACTAGAATGCGCCGACGAGAAGCAGCTGACTGATGACGAAGACGTCGGAGAAAGCAGTGCATTGGATGCCATTGTTGGCGAGCTTGAAGAAGATATGGAAGAGGAATCGACGCCTGAGGATACTTCTGCTGTCAACATGGAGGTCGCTACCGGTGGCCATGTCACAGCACGCAAGGAAGATGGCACTCGAATCGCGACACCAACTGGATCCGGTGCTCCTAGCCGTGCGGGTGGACCCTCGGTTGGCACCCAAGGCACACCTACTCCAGCATCGTCATCGTCGAGGCCGATGTCTTATGCGTCCGCTCTCCAGGCAGTGCCCCAAGATTGGCACATTGAGTTCAGTCTTGACAACAAGCTGATCCCCAACGAGACTACCATCTACCGCGCTGTCCATACTTCAGCTTCTAACTCAGATGAGCATCTAAGCAGAAGTATCTGGTCAACTGTGCACCCAATCAAGTTCAAGCGTGTACCTGGACCACCTCCTGCGGAATCTCTTTCATTTTCTTCTAACACGGAAGCTGATGGTGAAGATGAGCATGGAATCCCCGCTTCGCTTGCCAAGAACCCAACGACGTCATCAATTCTACGCCTATTGAACATTCTTCACGACCTCAACTCGAACATTGAGGATGTTTTGATTGAGAAAAAGAATAGCGTTATTGGTCTGAATGTTGAGCCGTTGTCACAGTTCGTCAACACGAAACTCACAGCGAAGTTGAATCGTCAGTTGGAAGAGCCCCTGATTGTTGCCAGCAACTGTCTACCTAGTTGGGCGGAGGATTTAGCTCGCCTTTATCCCTTCCTCTTCCCATTCGAGACTCGACATCTATTCCTCCAATCTACATCTTTCGGATATGCCCGATCAATGGCGAGGTGGCAGAATACCCAGTCTGCGGAGGATAACCGAAGAGATCGAAATAACGAACGGCCATTCCTCGGTCGCCTTCAGCGACAAAAAGTTAGGATCTCACGTCAGAAGATCCTTGAATCGGCCTTGAAAGTTATGGAGCTATATGGTGCTTCACAAAGTATCCTAGAAGTTGAGTATTTCGAGGAAGTGGGCACTGGTCTTGGTCCTACTCTTGAGTTCTACTCAACTGTCTCGAAAGAGTTCTCAAAGAGGAAGCTCAAACTATGGCGTGAGGTCGATTCGAGCGGCTCTGATGAGTTTGTGTCTGGAGCCACTGGACTCTTCCCCCGGCCGCAGAGTGATGAAGAGGCTGGGACACCAAACGGAGAGCGGATTCTGCATCTTTTCAAGATGCTTGGAAAGTTTGTTGCGCGGTCCATGATCGACTCCCGAATCATTGACCTTCACTTCAACCCCATCTTCTTCCGCATCGGGGATGCAGTTTCGTCTGGAGTCAAACCATCATTGGGGGCTGTGAAAATTGTCGATCCTGGCCTTGCCCGTTCATTGAAGGCCATCAAGCAATTTGCCTTGGCCAAGAAGGAAATCGACGAGGACCCCAATCGTACACCAGCACAAAAGGTTGCCGACACAGAAAACATTACTATTGATGGCGTCAAGCTTGATGACCTTTGTCTCGACTTCACTTTGCCTGGTTATCCTAATATTCAGCTGGAGGATAATGGCTCTCAGAAACGAGTCACTATTGACAATGTGGACTCGTATCTGGAGAAGGTCATTGATATGACTCTTGGATCTGGTGTTCGTCGCCAAGTCGATGCCTTCCGTGCTGGGTTCTCACAGGTATTCCCCTACTCTGCACTCAGTGCTTTCACGCCAGATGAGTTGGTCACCTTGTTTGGCCGTGTAGACGAGGACTGGTCACTTGAGAGTATGTATAATCCTATAGTTTTACCTTTGATGTATGCTAACATTTCATCAGCTCTCCTTGACTCGATCAAAGCCGATCATGGTTACAACATGGATAGCAAGACGGTCAAGAATCTGCTCCATACAATGAGCGAATTTGATGCTTCGCAACGCCGTGACTTCTTACAATTCACCACTGGAAGTCCAAAGCTCCCCATTGGAGGTATGTTTTGCCTCCTGGCTGTTCATGGTTAATTTCTAACTTTCCCTAGGATTCAAGTCTCTGACACCTATGTTTACTGTGGTCTGCAAACCCAGTGAGCACCCTTATACCTCCGACGACTACCTTCCTAGTGTCATGACGTGTGTCAACTACTTGAAGCTTCCAGACTACTCTACCATTGAGATCATGAGGAAGCAGCTTTTTACAGCAGTCAAGGAAGGCCAGGGAGCGTTCCATCTGTCGTAGATTGGTTTATTTTTCGAAGTACTGCACGATACAATGCCTAGGGCCTCTCATGGCACCTGAGCAACAGAACAATGACAACGATATGCTTTTCTTGGACGACTTGGCAGGAAAAGTTTTTATATTCGCTTGATGCCTCTGATGAAACAACACGCCCCCACGATGGACCGGAATGATGGAAATAGACAGGGCATCTGACATGGCGCCCACATTAACACAATATTGCATGGCTTGGAGGACGGCGCAGGACTTGTTTTTATGAGAATCACAGGAACGGCATGGCATATTTTTGAAGCCTCTTCCAAGGATCAACGAAGGAGAGGCAGGGCAATGATTAAGATACCGCCTTTAGGCAAAGTAGTTATAGAGATGAAATTGTGTGTTTGTCTATTCCTATCTCACTCCGCACTGGCTGCGTAAATACTATTCGTGTTTCGTGTTATTGATTGCGTTGATTATTGACAAGAGAATATAGTTAAGCTGATGCTCCTAACTCCAAAGCTTACAGTTCAGCCATCCATACATACATGTCCAACAAGTGAAAGACGAGGCTATCCTACGTTCTTCCCTCATACGCATCCTGCACTTGTCCTGGGACAAAAGATACAAAAAAAACCCAGAAATAAATCAAAGAGTCATGCCAAAATTCTACAATCGTTCATCATCATCATCATCCGAGTCCCAGATTGCAGGCGGAACCCTTGTGTCGTCACGTATCAAGCTGTCCGGCAGCATCTGGCTCTTTGTCAGCAGCTGCGACGAGCCTGGATTGTATCCCGACGGCAGACGCAGGGCGTCATCGTCATCATCCTCGTCTAAGAGGCCCTCGGGAAGGCCGATGCTGCTGGAAGAGTGTAGCGGTGGGCGGCGAATAGATGACGAGTGCTGCTCAGGGGTGGAAGACTGAGAGACGGTAGTTGCCTGAGATGGGCGGACGGCAGGTCGTTTGGAAGTGCTACTCAGTGAAGGGCGGGTAGCGCGGTAGGAGGATGCTGCAAAGGGGTTACGACGGGGAGGAGGTTTGATAGTTGTGGGAGAAGAAGCGATGTGAGTGGTTGGGGGAGTTGTATTTTGATTGTTGTTGTTGTTTTCCTCCTCGGGAGTCGAGGGAACGAGAATATCGTCCGAAGTTGGGAATTGGGTTGATTGAGCGAAGTCACTCTTGAGTTGAGCTTCAACTTGCTGTGACACGCTCATGCTTGATGAAGGAGCGGGCGTCTTGTCCGCTGGTAGAGGTTCTGAAGAGTTGGCAAAGAGATCAACTCGTCCACTGTCATCTTCGTCAACTGTAGCTTGAGTCTGTGTTGGTTCGTCTCCTGATGTATTCTCCTTGAATAGAGCATGTCGCAAGTTCCAGAGCAACTGACCTACGACAGCAGGTGGGAAATAAACATAGCGAGCAACATCACCGTCGATCCAGCCCTCTTCCCGCATGTCATCTCCCTCAACAGGGTTGTTCAACTCGTAGACTTGAGTAAGGTGATAACGCCAGGCTGGGCCTTCCGTAACACGACCAGGGTCAGCGCAAGCCATAAATCGCAGTAGCTCCCCATCGTAGAGCCAGAAGCGAACCACTTGTGCCGGTATTTTGAAGTTGAGTATGAGATCAGCCTGGTAGCCTTCTATCACATCATCAATAATATCCTGGGGGAGCGACAGCAGCACGTCTGTACGAGCAGATGCAGGAGGTAGTGCTTGAAGGGTTGCCAGAGGTACACGCTGAGATTCTAATGGCTGAGTTTGAGTTGGTGGAAGAGGACGGTGGATGGGTTTGCGAACACGCTTTGCTGGTCGGGGGCGGCTCTTGGCCTGGGGAGTTGCTGAGAGGGGAGGGAGTGTAGGGGGGAGTGTAGTAGGTCGAGAACTCAGAGGTGGGAGTGAAGAGGTTGATGTTGATGCTTGGCCATTTGAGCCAGACGATTCCTCAGATGAAATGGTCGCAACGGCTTGTCGTTTAGTTTTAACGCTCGTCGTTTGCACAGAAGAGGAGGATGCTCTCATGACCTCTTCCCCAGATGAAGCAATCTCGCTCATAACGAGTTGCGTTTCAGCACCGGCAACGAACGCGTTCTCATCGTTCTCGTCACCAAAGTCTTCATCCTCCTCATCTTCAGAATCAGGTATCTCGAGCATGACCTTCTTTCCACTGCCTGGTGATACTCGCTTCATCCTTGGCGTGGGGCTACCACTCCTTTGACTTCCACCGAGTTCACTACTCCTCCTCCTCCTTCTGGACTTGGTAGGCGTCTCCAACTCATCCATCACAGAAGACGATGTTTCAAGCGGTTCAATGACGCCTTTTGGAGTTCTTGGTGTCTTGTTTGGCGAATCCACGGGCAGTTCCTTGAGAGGGGTACGGTTAGTAGACCCCCAACTGTCGGTGGCGTAAGAATCCTGGATGATGCGCTCGTGTTTTCGAGGCGATGATGTTGTCTTAGGCCTTCCTCTTAGCTCCTTGAGCGGAGATGGGTTCGCTGGCGAAGATGTCTTTCCTTGGACAGGCGACGGATTGGCACGGTCTGGTGGACCATAGCGTTCCAACATCATGCTAGCGGGCGTTGACGATATGCTGGGCGGCGCAGACAACTGGCTCGAGGAAGGTATTTCTGTTACTGGAACATTGTTGTGCGGTGTCTGCTTCTGAGGTGTCTGTGGCACAACAGACTCTTCCCGCTGAGGAGTTGGCTCTTCTGGCCTGCGCTTCAATATCGATTTTGGAGTTTTCTGATTCTTGACAGGCGAAACGTTCTTCTGTTTTCGGGTCTTCCGTGGACTTGGACTAGCCGCATTGCCCAACCATTGTTGGAAGTCGTCATCATTATCCTCATCTTCAGAATCCTTGATAAACTCGGCGTGGGCTGGATCGCGACCGAGGAATTGGGTCAAGGTCTGTGTATGGTAGGCCGAACTAGGTACATCTTCCATCGTCTTACGTCGGCTCGATTTCTTTTCCTTTTTCGGTTTTGGATGTTCCTCTGTATCATCGCCTAATGTCCGTCTTCGCTTGGCTCGCTCATTCTTGGTAGAGGTCCCTTTCGCTTTCGCTCGTCGTTTCCGCCCGCTCGAAACAGGTTCCTCGTCCTCTTCTTGGTCTTCTTGTTCCTTGTCCTTCCGGTTTTCATCTTCTTCCTTATCTGACTGCATTTCATCCTGTTCACTATCACTTAGGACGATCGGGTCCTCGTTCCCTTCGAAGCTCGATACAAAGTCGATTTGAGTTAAGGTTTGTTGTCGCAAAAGTCTCGAGGGTGTTTCTGCCTGCTTCTTCCGATTCTGCTTTCCATATGTTCGAACAACCTTTCTACGCGCGGGGAACTGTGCTTGCTGTTGCACGGGCGTTGAATGATAGACACGACTTGGTGCGGGTTTACCGCCTGAGCGGGTCTTGGGCGTCATGATTGCGGTGTTAAAGTCGCTCGACAAAGTAATACAATAATTTCAAGGCTTGAATTCAAGTAAAGCAGCATATGAAAGTCGACATATTGTTCGTGGAGTAAATGAACATGATATATTCAGGCAACTTCGATGTAATGTCGATAATGAAGTGGAGCTACAAGGGCCCAAGGGCGTTAAGTGGCGTAGCTTCCCTACATGTCCAAGGTCGTGACGCGTCTTGTCGCGTAAAGTAGTGGGGTCAATTAATGAACGCGCTTCAGTAATCACGCCTATAATTAGAAGAATAGTATAAGACGGAGGAAACTAGGTACCAATATGACTCTATGGTAAGATAGACTCCAGAGCCAAGCATCGTAGCGATAAATAAATATAACGAGATATGTAAAGTCCATTCCTCAAAAAGCTCGACACCACGAAACGCGCCTCATTTACTACCCATGGCTGATCAAGCATGCCAATATACCTAGAGAATATAGTATTCGTACAGCAAGTTCATCATCATGTTCCCATTCTCTCTAAGCACCAGACTCAACGGAATGCGGCCTTGACGTCGGCTCGAGGCCACTCGAAGAGGACATCACCGCCATATACGTTGGTCGTCACAGCGCCAACCCGTCTCTCGACCTTTTCGTAGAACTTTTCGCACTCTTCCAGCACCTTGATCACCAATCCTCGGCTGAGTCCTGGTTCATCAGCATCACCAAAGTGCTTCTCAACACGTTTACGCAGCGCCTCGATGCCCTTTCGCACTTCCTTGGAGTCGTAGTTGCTCAAAACCTTATTGAAAACCGTCTTGCTGTTGGAAGGTTGCGCAGCAATTGATGCCGGTGACTTGCCTGTCTGCAACTGAGCTTCCATGTTCTCGAGGTGTTCCAAAATCTTTCCGAGTGGTCGCCGCATGACTGCATCAAGATACAGATTCATATGCTCGTAATATGTCGTATTAGCCTTTTCCTTCCATTCCTCGAGCACGTCCAAGCCTCGTGTGTCCGTCTCCTCAAGGAAGTGGTTCATATTCTCAATCAGGAGGATATGGAAGTTGAGGGCTTCCTTGTCCTCTGGGTCAACCGAGCCGCTTGTCGCACTGACACCGGGATTCTCTCGCGCAATGACCATGAGTGAGTCAAACATGGTCTTAAGTATTCGGTCATACTCGCGATCAACAGTACTTCGAATCGGTAGGGTGGTGTCGACACCGAGCAGCATCTCCTCCACAGCTGCTGAGAAAAGAGGGAAAAGCCGGATGAATGCAATAACACCCTTTCGCTTGCTGATCTTGACCTTAGTCTCCTCAATGGCCCGAAGCTGGTCGTCAACGAATTTCTTGAATCGCAGTTCCAAGTGCCCATGAAGTTTTTGCAAGAGTGTGTTCACATACTCTTGGTTGGACTGTCCAACCTCAGCAGAGTACTTCTCGATAGTCGCTAGGACTCCAATCCCTTGACTGGATATCTGTCAGTATGCTCGTCAACACCATGATATAAGGAGATTTGAACTTACATTGGGCCCTGTCCGACAACCCACTCCATAAGACGTAGCAGTTCCGATTCCAAGAAAGTAAAGATCACCTCCATCGCACGCAGAATACGTCTGGCCAGTTCTCGATCGGGTTCCATTAGTCGGGGTCTTCTTAAATCAGTGCCTCCACGATCAGAAGGCATTGTTGTGGCAACAGCATCTGGGAAATCTATCTGTTCAAGCGTGGTCGCATGGAAGAAGTCGATGATGAAATTTTGCTCCATCTGTATCAGTGGAATGAGATTATCCAGAACTCCAGTAAAGACTTCGTGGGGCGGGTTCTTATTATCATTCACTCCCTTGTCGGCCTTTGGTTTGTGACCACCGTCTTCTCGAGGAGATCGCAGAGCCCTCGCTAGAGTCCCGCTGCGCTTTACCGTCAGCTTCCTGGCAGTGGTAGCCACACCTCCTTCTTGATGCTTCTCAACTGCTGACGTGAACAGAATTTCAGCCTCTTCTCCGGTTGCCTGTCTGGCATTCCTGCGCCAAGACGCAATCGTAGCCTGAAACTCAACTCGGTAGACAGGTTGACCCTTATCTTGATAAATTTGAATGAGCTGGTTCCACTCATCGGGATGCATATCTCGAGCGTATAGCATGAGGGGACTAAATTGCCAAAGGATATCGCGGCCAAGCTCGTGATGTATGGGATCCACCTTTCTAGACAAAGCTCCCTCCATAGCAAGCTTGGTTTCTGTAAAAGCATGGTCAAATTGCCGGGACATAAAGGCGACCAATCTGCCAATGAACATGGCGCTTTCTTGGTCATAAACAAGCTTCTTCTCTTGGACAATCCGCATCTGCTTGAAGTCAGGGTTGAGGCCACTCTGGTTTGTCTCGGCAGTAATATCGGCCTTCTCTTGATCAGCTCCACTACGCGCAGGATCAATCTTAACCATTGCCTTATAAAGTGTTACAAGAGAAGATTCGACGTGTCGTAAGCCGCCTAAGTCATCCAAAGGTGCAGATCTGAGGACTTCAAGCTCGTTCGATGTGATAGCACAGGTCTCAAGCAAAGACTCAAGCTCTTTCTTGAGTAACTTTTGGTTTGCAGTTTGGACTTGAAGACCTTGACCCTGGGCCTCAATATAAGCGATGTCATCTGAAAGGGTCTGTTCATGATTAGCAACATTTCGAGCATATTTTAGGGTAACATACCGAAAGCTCGACTGAGTAGAGTGTGAGCAAGTTGTCAAGCTCCTCACACTCAGCCATGGCAACATCAAGCCCAGCCTTGATGGCATCAACGCGTTCATCCTCTTCACGGAAACGAGCCAGCCAGCCACCAGCCTGGGCTTTATTCAGCTCCCGCTCTAGGTCAGCTCTCATTTCTTCCACGTTACGTGATCGCATTTGTTCTCCTGGAATCCAGCCAAAGAAATCCAACCATTGAGCAAAATCATCACTCCTCTCATCAAGAATAGACGGGTTGACTCCCAATGTCTGCAGGTATTTCATATCGTTGCCTGCATTGATGGAGCGACGAGTCTCTTTCTTTTCAGGTTCGGTTGCCTTTTGAACTTCCTGCGGCGGCCCATGCGAACTCGTCGGCCTACTCGTTGGGAGGCTAATTTTGACTTCAGGGACAAGTGAATTACGGTTCGCAGACTTAGGCTGCTCCGCGGGTTTAGCTTGCTCCAATTGTTTGGCCTCTTCCTCAGCTTTAGGTGTTTCTTCTGGTGTAGGCTGTTCAGGGGGGGTATCTATACCCTTGGAAGACGGTCTGGGTGGCGCAGGGACAACACTATTGATTCCATCTGGCCCCTCTTCCGTCTTACTCTTCAGTAGACGCATACGTTCACCAGCACCACCAGGCCTGGGTTTGAAGGCGGTTGCAGCGTTGGCCGCAGACGCAGCCTTCCACAATGCACCGGCGATCTCATTTCTAGACTTTTTGGCTCTGATCATAGGACCAAGGCCAGGCCTGGATTCGTCGACTGTCTCTGCTGGTGATGGGTTAGACTCGCGATCAGAAGGTGTTGCTGCACGCTCCCCTGGTGAAGGCTCTTCTACTGGCTGAACCGGCTCGTTCTTGGGCAGATCAGGGGGCGGTTGTAAGTTTGCAAATCTTGGCACGCTCACTGTCATTGGCGAGACATCGGAAGAACCTGCTCCAGAGCCCGGAGACAGAGCTTGAGCGGGGCTTGGTGTTTGAGCGTGTGCTTGCGAAGTGTTGGGTACGGGAGCTGGCGTAGGACTAGGAACACGGGCCGCTGCAGGGCTGGGTCCACGAGCCGGGCTGGGCATACGGGCTGGTGCAGGGCTGGGTCCATTGCCTTGAGCAGGACTTGGAGTTTGATTTGTTATATTAGTTGGCGGGTGATGTGAGGGAGGGTTGGGGGTATAAGCTTGTGGGTTGGTCGGTCCTGATCCAGGCCTAAGGGACGAAGGCATGGGAAGCGGCTCACGCTTTGGTGGGTCTGGTAGTCGTCCTGTGGGAGGTGGTGCTACTTCCCGATCTAGTGTGCTCCCCGTGAACGAACTGCTTGTCGATTTCTGGCTTGCATTATCCATTCTCGGCACAACGCGTTCGCTGCTGCGAGGTGGAGGAGCCATTGGTTCTTTGTTCCCGGGACTAATCAGTGGTGGAGGAACCAAGTCCCGATCATGAGGGCGAGTTGGGTCCATGGGCGGTCGTCTCCTTTCGGGGGGTGGTCTATCTAATTGAAGTGGTGAAGGAACTGGCTGTGGAGGTTGAGGAGGAGACAGAATAGCAGGTGGTTTCGACTTGGGCGAAGACTGTGGTTGAGGAGGTGTAAGAACAGCTGGTGCCCGGGATTCATGGGGCTCTGCAAATCTTCCATACGCTCCTGGGCCGTTTATGCCATTGCGAGAGCGCGGTGGTAAACTAGACCCGTCATCGCTCCTGGTAGCCATTGAGGTAGCAACCGAATCTTGACTCTTGTTGCTCTGAGCCATCCACCGAGGTTGAGGCGGCCTTTCTCTCGAAGTAGTTGAATCGAAACTTCCGACAGGTGAAGGGCCAAGATTTGGGTGTGCTGGGCGAGTAGGCGGCGTCCTGTACTGGGGTGCGTCATGAGGGCCACTTCCTGGGAGTCCTTGATGCGAAGGGTGCATCGGATGGATTGGACGAGGAGGGGCGCTCGCCATCTGACTCGAAGGTTGCTCAGCTATAGGAGGAGGTGGCGGCCGAGAACCACCTGTGGCCGGTCGTCTAGTTGCTCCCATAACTTGATCATACTCCTTTTGTTCAAAATTTGCAAGCTCCGGCGTCTTGCCACCCGTGTATTTCCCGTATATCTTGATAAGACTGGCAATGAAGAACTTCTTTTCCTTGTCCGTCTGAGCATGCCAAAAGTATGGTTTGCCGAGTGTCACTTGAAAACCTGTGTCGCCAGCCCAATCGCGGTGGTTTGGGCTAGCCTCGGGGCCAGTGTAAGATTCAATGCGCGAGAGGTCGTCGAGATTCCACGTTTTTCCGATCGAAAACGATCCATTAGCGTTTTCTTTTGACTTATGCAGGCGAACTCGACCGGACTTGCGCACGGCTACTATTATTATTCGAGGTTTTTGAACTTCGGCGTTCCGAGCCTGAGGTGGAGGAGGGGTCGTAGGATAAGAGGAGTATTCGGTAATGCGGATATGAGTTATGTATGTTTCAAGAACTGGTCAAGGTCATTAGCCATCTGGACATTGAGTTTAGTAGCCCTATAACCAAACTCTCGCGACATTGAGTTCCTTTGAGCTAGGAGCTCATGTCGTTGAGTTTAGGCTTGACTGCAATAATAGCATAACTTACGAGAACCATCAACATCCTTCTTGTTAAAGCAGCTCTCTATTATACGGCGCTTTTCATCCTCGAATCGCTCTGCCCTGCTAGTAGCCGCGGCGGCACCAGGGCCGCCCCCGTTTGGGCGGTCCATGAGAGAGTTCGAGGAACGGGATCACGCAGGAGCGTTAGGATGAGCAAGGAGGCATGTTCGATCGAGCAGCAGCCTAGTGAGATGATTTCGCGGGGATAGCGAATAGGCCGGGACCAATAAGCGACTACGCAGACTGAGCGCGTTATCCAGTGTCGTCGAGTCGAGTATATAATGTACGTTGAAAGCTGATGTGGTGGTTGGTCGTGGATTCGAGGACAGGTCGTCGAGGTCAATGTGGCTGGAGTTTCCCTATTTCGATGTGGATGTTTCGGGTGGGCACCTGCTTAGTCGTGTACCTGCCTCCAATGCTCCACTGCAGCTTGGAGCTGTAAGGCGTGTAAACGATTTGCCTGCTCACCACCGTTCTTGTGCTGATAAATGGCCGGGTATTCTCTAAATGACGCTCTATCCTGAATAATTGGATTGTAACAAAGCTCCACTAACAATAAGCCTAAACAACCAAGCTCTGGTAAAGCTGCGACGGCAAGCCACATTGTCCAAGTCATGTGTTGAGAGCCAATGAACAAGCCACATGATGAGGTCAGCGGTATCATACGCCACTGCAATGGCGCGTCACAGCACCTCAATCTGTGACAGCTATCAAACTGTTCCGGGACCGATATATTACTTTTCAGTGACGCTTCAAATATCAAGTGTCAAAACCTTGATCTCAATCCATGTATGTGCTGAGTCACATCGGTATTTAAGGCTCTTTGAGGGCGCATAAATGTGCGACTAGACACAAATCTATTAAATGTGTGTATTTGATCCGTGTAAGTGGCTTTATGAAAGTGAAGGCGTTGCGAAGATCCATGAGTGAATGCTAAGATACCTCTCCTTGATAGTATTCAAGATGTCTTGCAGAAAGTTCGTTGCCAGGCTTTCTCATTGAAGATTGGCCGATTACAACAGAGCTCGATAGAGCTATGAGCTTTGAAATCGACTAAGTTAGAGTATTCACGGAAATAGTACAGGGTAACTAGTATAGCACTGCGCACCTCCAAACGATCAACGTCATGATCAGTTGTGATCATGAGCATTTGTTCACCTTCCTGAATGCTTGGGTGACCTCGTAGTTATTGGACAAAGTATCCGTCAAGGAAGACCCTGGTCCTGGTGCCAGTTGACGACGATATCTCGGTATATCAATACTTGATTACATGATGCAGCATGATCGTACCAACCACGTTGCTTCATAGAATCTCAATAATTTTGGTTCAGGCTACTCAGAACGATATGAATAAACTCGAGGCATACAAATACTCACACGAGACATTCAATAGAATCGCTAGTTATAGGTCACTTTCCAACAAAGACGTCAGCGGAATACCCAAATAGGCAATTTCTCGCTCCAGCTTCCTTTCAGGTTTAAGAGCTTAAGTTGAGATCCGCTTTCCCCTCACGAATCAACCCCCATCATCGCCCCCCAGATCGGCCTTGGTTCACCCCCGCAATCGGGGTTGCTCGTCCGTCTACCGAGGTTGTACATAGAAAATGAACACTCTTACCCGTTGCAATTGCTTCATTAAGAAGATTCGCGTGAAACCTGCAGTGCTCTCGAACCCCAGTCTTACCCCGGATCCTTGGGAATAATATCCTTGAGCTCTTATACCCAGCTTGGTAACATAGACATTAACAACACCATGGTACCCTCCGTGAGAGTTGTCCCTAACGTATGTTTACCCCTTATGATCAAGCACAAGCACTGGTGAAGCTGCTTGGTTTGTGTGAATGACTTCAGTTCAGATAACTCACACTCACATAGGCCGCTAAGCGAGCAACCAGCTTGCTACGCACCATTCAATACACTCATCCTCCTTCATGTCCTTGTCACTCAAACCCAGGATATCACCAGTCGCCACCAACATTCACTCCCTCCAAGCATGCTCACCAGCGTAAATATGCTACGCCAACATCGCACCCAGGCCAGAAGGAGTATGCCTTTGAGATGGCTGCTTCGTCCATAAGGTTTGGCCCAGGTGTGACGCAGGAGGTCGGCATGGACTTGAAGAACATGGGAGCAAAGCGTGTTTGTGTGGTAACAGATGAGAATGTCAACAAGCTGGATGCCATGAGACAAGTTCGTGAGTCCCTTGCTCGTGAGGGCATCCCTTATGAGGTTTACGACAAGGTTCGCGTCGAGCCAAAGGATAGCTCGTAAGTTCGACTTGACATCACGTCTATCAGACTACAGTTCACTTATAATATCACAGTATCAAGGATGCCATCGCCTGGGCTCGCCCTTATGCACCAGATGCCTTCCTCGCTGTTGGTGGTGGATCAGTCATGGACACAGCCAAGCTCATGAACCTATACACGGCGTATCCTGATGCAGACTTTCTAGACTTTGTCAACGCCCCTCTTGGAAAGGGCCGTCCAGTAGACAAGAAGTTGACACCGCTCATTGCGGTTCCAACAACAGCCGGTACTGGTAGTGAGACGACAGGAACTGCCATTTTCGATCTTGTGTCTAAGCGAGCAAAGACCGGTGTAGCTCATCGAAACCTGAAGCCCACACTAGGTATCTGTGATCCCCTCAACACCAGGACCATGCCAGCAGCTGTCAAGGCCGCTTCGGGTCTCGACGTTCTGTGCCATTCGCTTGAGTCCTGGACTGCCATTCCATACAACGAGAGAACACCTAGACCAACAAACCCTATCCTTCGGCCCGCGTACCAAGGCGCGAACCCTATCTCGGATGTTTTCTCGTTTCATGCACTGCGCTCTACCGTCAAGTATCTCCCGCGATCGGTGAAGAACCCTGATGACTTGGAGGCCCAATCTGAAATGCTTCTCGCTTCTACTCTGGCCGGCGTTGGGTTCGGTAATGCCGGTGTTCATCTCTGTCACGGTTAGTTCATACCTACTCTGTTATAAATTTCTGCCCCTGTTGGGTGCTAACCCGAGCCCAGGCATGTCGTACCCCATTTCTGGCCAGAACCCAGGCTACAGGCACGATGGCTACGAAGTTGAAGCCCCTCTTATTCCTCACGGTGTCTCCGTAGCTGTCTCTGCGCCAGCTGTCTTCCGCTTCACAGCAGCATCGAACCCAGATCGCCATCTGGCGGCAGCGGAGGCCTTTGGGGTTGATATCAGCAACGTGAAGCGCGAGAGTGCAGGCGAAGTGCTTGCAGAAGCTATTACCAAATTCCTTGCCCAGCTCGGTGACCAGCCCAAGGGTCTCAAGGAGTTGGGTTTCGGCTCGGAGCACATTGAGGCCCTTGTCGAAGGTACCATTCCTCAGGCACGTGTGTTGATGCTGGCACCAGGATTGTCTACACAGCTCGAAGCGGAGAAAGACCAGCTAAGGAGACTGTTTGAGAACGCAATGACTCACTAAGGCCCGTCCTGAAGAAAGGAGTTCGTCAATGCGGGTATGCAATTGCATTGCGTGTCGTCGATCGATTGTAGCCGCGGATGTCGTATCACTCTTAAATACAGTATCTGGATTAGTACTTATTGAGATACAAATATAGTCACATGTGTACCATGATAATCTGATCCACTTTGATTTTCTATGGAACATTCGGGAAAATCGACGATGTGAACTGTTTCTAAAAGTGGTATATATGCTTCTTTGTATGTCGTGCGTTTATAACATAAACCTTTATCCATACATTTGAAACCGCGTACTACTAATGAATTTATGCTGTTCAACGGTATGCATTGATTTGTGCAACTCTCCACGTTTCGAATGTCACCATATCGACCGTTAAGAATCGTCCCTTTCTCTTTTGGTGCACCGTAACACTGGCTCCATGGCAGAGTTGCAAATGCCATTCTCGGTAACAGGCGTCATTGGGTGAATCTGAAAAGTCCCTGCAGGTACTGGACCGATCCACTGGAAGATTACCATATCAGGTAAAAACAAGACGAATCTTGCATTGGTAACCGAGACGCCATGCTAATCCTGGCAAGCCCCTACAATTTCTTTAACAAGAAGCCCAGCGAAAGACTGAACTAGTGACAGAGGCGAACGGGGAGAGTTGAAAGACTTTGATGAAGCGACTCCTTTTTGAGATTCTGGACCAAGAGTCTATGGGTATCAATTGCTTCGCTTGACTCTTCTACCAGGCCTTCTCTTCCAAAATAGAACGAGCTACCAGAGTCATGAGCCTGTTTAGTGTTTTTCACCTGGTGGGCCTTGACTCAACTATCCCCGGACTGCCGGCCGGATGGCGTTCCGATGGCCACGACGTCGTGATGCTGGCCTGGAATTTACCTAAGAAAAACTCGAACCAAGCGGTTTCGCAATAAGCTCCAAGAATCTCCAAGACTTCTAGGCTCAATTTTCTCCCTTGTGCCTCCACATCCACTACGTCACGGGGCCTGTACGAGCCCGAGGTGATCGCTGCTTTTGCCGGAGATGGACAGGGCCCGTCCGCGTTGTGTTAGTCGTACGTACGATACCCAATTCTAACACTGGAACCGCAAAGCTTGATGGAGCCCATAGAGTTTGCGATCTTCATATAATAACGTAAACCCGCCCTTCCCCGCGAAAGGCATTGTTGAGGCTCTCCAGTTTATCCCTGTACATCTTGGATCATAGTCCCATCTTTCCCACTTCCTTCGCTCGTTACTAAAGGAAATCGATATCTTGTACCTGATTCAAGGCATATTCCAGTCACTCACAATCCAATGGAGGGCAATTCTAGAGATATTCAAGACGAACCGGACCTCGAAGTCGGACTCGAACCACCCAAGACTGGTTCTGGTTCTGGTTCTGGTGCCGATACACCACCAAGTCCAAAGACTGCTGCTGCAGCTTTGAAGAAGGACAAGGCACGAGTGCGGTTCAACAGTAATGCTGCCGCAAACCCTCCACCAAAATCATCTACTCCCCCTCCTGCTGCTGGAGGCCCCATCGCAAAGCCCAGGCCATCACTGTTGCGTGGCAGTTCTGCAGAGGCTGTAAAGACTCTTCACGATGCCGAGCATGAGTCAGACCCTGAGTCAAAGGAGGCGATGGTAGCTGCCCAGGAACGTGCCCGTATAATGGCGGCAAACATCCACAATGATTCATCAGCCATTGACAGAGACTCACTCGAATCCAGCACTGGAACAGCCGCATGGGACAGCCCTTATGGTTCCAGTATCCCACTTCAAACCCTCAACGAAGGTGGCAGTAGCCGGGAAGGTTTCCACAAGCTTCCATCTGAGGAGCAAGAGGCACATGGCTTGAAGGATGAAGCTTTCAAGCTTGTTCGAGCACACACTCAGCGATTTGGACCTAGCAGCACTGGCCAGCATTCACCAGACAACAAGGACACAAAACATGAAGAACGAGTTCCCCTAACCGAATTGAATGACGGAAACTTTGATGGAGTCTTATACGATGTTCCAGCACCTGAACAGTATCGCGGAAGCGTACTATCTCAACTTTTGAAGCTCTACAAACCCCCAGACCCTCCTTTCAAGGGATCGCACCACCGAGCTGCCTCTACCTCTTCAGTTCTAAGTGAAGCCGGTACTCCTACAGTTCAAGGAACGCCATCTGGAGCATCTACCCCAAAGCGAAAATGGTACGATCAGAACAAGTCCCAGGACACTCTTGCCAACCTGATCGAGGCCTCATCACGACTCGCCAACCCCAATGACCCGGATGACAAGAGGAAGAAGCCTACTGGAAAGAAGCCACAAAGACCTGGCCACAAGCGAACAACAAGCGCAAACCGCCTCAGTGGTCTCTGGCAACAACAAGAAGCACGTATCACAGTTCATATCGCCGAGACTCTGGCCCGACAGGACTATATCATCAAACTCTGCCGTGCTCTCATGCTTTTTGGAGCTCCCACTCATAGACTGGAGGAGTATCTTAGCATGTCCGCCAGAGTTCTCGAAATCGATGGCCAATTCCTCTATCTTCCTGGATGCATGATTATTTCTTTCGACGATAGATCGACTCACACCACCGAAGTCAGAATTGTCCGCACATCGCAGGGTATTGATCTAGGCAAGCTGAAGGATGTCCATCTTATCTACAAGGAGGTTATGCACGATGTTGTCGGCGTTGAAGAAGCTACCGAGAAGCTCGAGACCTTGATGAAGCGCAAGGACAAGTTCCACAGGTGGCTCAGGGTTGTCATGTTTGGACTCATGAGTGTCTGTGCTGCCCCTTTCTCCTTCGGAGCTCGCCTTATCGACCTTCCTCTCATTTTTGCTTTCGGCTGTCTTATCGGAGTACTCCAACTTATCGTGGCCCCAAACTCTGCCCTCTACAGCAATGTCTTCGAGGTGTCTTCTACCATCATCGTCAGTTTCTTGGCCAGAACGTTTGGCAGTATTTCGAGTGGAGGCGAAGAGATCTTTTGTTTCGGCGCTTTGGCGCAGGGCGGTATCGTCATGTTGCTGCCCGGTTACATGGTTTGTAAGTGAACTCTTCTTGTCCCAAAACGACGTCAGAAACTAACATGATACAGTGTGCTCTGCTCTCGAACTCCAATCTCGTGCTATTGTCCCCGGTTCAATTCGAATAGTCTACGCCGTCATTTACTCCCTTCTTCTCGGATTCGGTATCACTGTTGGCGCAGCTCTTTATGGATTATTCGACAGTAACCCGTCCAACACTACAACTTGCCCCGATGCCATGAACCCCTACTACGGCTTCATTTTCGTGCCATTCTTTGTTATCAGCATGTGTATCGTCTACCAAGCCAAATGGCGCCAGATGCCCGTCATGGTTATCGTTTCATTCGCTGGTTACATGGTAAACTACTGGAGTGGACAGAGATTCAAGTCTAGCCCTCAGATCTCCAGTACACTGGGTGCATTGGCTGTTGGGCTCCTTGCCAATCTCTACTCTCGACTTCGACACGGTGTTGCAGCAGCAATTCTTATTCCAGCAGTATTCTGTCAAGTGCCTGGAAGTCTTGCGTCTACTGGAGGATTGCTTAGTGGTCTACAAGTCGCCAACTCTATCACCAACGCCACTGGTGAGATCAATGGAACTTCCTCTGTTCAGTTCCAGCAGGGCTCGAACCCTGATAACTTGGTATTCAGCGTTGCTGCCTCCATGATTCAGATCGCCATCGGTATCGCCGTTGGTCTCTTCATGAGCTCTTTGCTCATCTACCCTCTGGGCAAGCGCCGCAGTGCCTTGTTCAGTTTCTAATTGCTTTATTTGTTTCAAGTTCAGCGCAGCATCAGCATCGGCATAAGCATTGGGAAATCATTCATCGTTTGTATTACAGAAAAAGGTGTGCATTTACATATAGTACAGATTTGAGACATGTTATTTAGAGCGATAAAAACCAAGAATTGGGTACTGAGGTGCTTTTGGCTTTGATGGCGTGGTCGTTGTGAATTAGGTCTTGGTTAGGGCTGGTCTTTTGCATAAAGAATGGGTTTGAATTCATAGAAAGAATGAGTGGTTGGTTCTGATGAGAGCATTCACGACTTGAGACAGGTGACGGGAGATCATAACAATATCATGATGTTTACTCCTATATCTCGATACTTCAGCATCGTCAGTCAGATCATCATGCTACGACAACACGTGCCTCTTCCACTGGCTTGAACATGCCACTGTCTCTCCAAGCATCGACATCATAACTGCAGTTTTAGCCTTGGTTTCATGAGCTACAAGTGGATACGATAATGCATTTTCAAAAGCCGACTTCCCCGGAATAGCTTACAACGACAGGACGTGGTGCATCCCAGGGTATCCGGAGCTCCATATAAGTGACGACGTGTCAGAGGACCCCTGATCCAGGGATATTTTTGGCGGGTACCGAATCATGCACAACTTGTCTGTCTCCCACATACCGTCGGCTGCCTTTGCCGTGGTCTGGCAGTCACCGTTTATAACGGAGCCCTGAGAGTCTTTTTATGCATGCATGCATATGATCCGAGGCTCAAGCTGAAAGTCTAACATGCATAGCCACAAACTCAGCTCACAGCCACATTCTACCTACCTTACGCAATACGCTGATATCACTGCAGTAGGACCTCAACCTCTTGGCTTTTATACAAAACCTGTTCACTTTCGCTGACCTTGTCCTCTGGACTTCTTCAATCACTATACTCAACCTCGTAGAAATTCTATAAATCCACGATACGAGCTGCTAATATCTTTTCTTGCGACGACTGACTATTAGCTACTTTACTGACGACGTCATCGCATTTACTTGTGGTCAGCTTCACTTATACACCTCTCAAACACACCTCAAGTCCTAAACCATTCAAAAGAAAATGAATCCCTCTGATGTTCCAGATGAACCTCCGCCTTCATACGCTGAGAGCCAGAACCAGCATAAGAAGCTCCCGGCACAACCACCGCCTGCAGCTGCAGCTCCACAGCCAAAAGCATCATCATCAGCATCACAAGCTCCTCCTCCTCCAACTGCCGGCCCCAGCCAACCATCGGCTGTTCCACGCCAATTCCCACCGGCGTTCAATCTCTACTATCAAGGATGGCCCAATAATTCCTATACACTTGCTGAACATCAAAACCACCCTCTCTATCTCTACTCCGCACATTCCGGCCTGAGTGATCTACCGCCAATTCTTTTACACTCTGGTCCAGACCCGTCATATTCACCTCTGGCTTCTGCAAGATTCATGTTCATGAGTGCTAGTTTCGAAGTCGAATTGCCTCCAGTGCCAGGCTCGGGAGCTCCATTGGCACGCGAAGTAGTTGAACCAGTAGGTTCACACAGTGGTCTCGGTACAGGCTATAGCTTTGCTATTGAAGTCGGACCAGGAGGCAACGGACCACGGGAGAGATTCGAGTGGAGGCGCTCACGTGGAGATGTCATAGCAAGCTTGGGTGGTCATTATTATGGCTGGAAGCTTGTGCGTATGAGCCGTGGTGCTCCTGGAGGAGGAAATATGGCGTTTGCGCCAGGCGGCTTTGAAGATAGCCGAGGAAACGAAGTTGTTGCAGCTTGGACGATGGGCGATGGAAGAAGTTTGACAAAGGTTGCGCATTTTCGATTTATGGGAACGGGCTTGACAGGACTTCTTGGAGAGAGATGGGCTATTATGGTGGTGATAACAGGGCTGGCCTTATTTCACAGAGACCGAAGATGACAGTCTTGACTCTTCTCGAAAAGGCACGACTTATATCTCGGTCTTGATTTATGTACCATATACCCTCTCTAGGCAATACTAATATTTTAATATGAGCTACAGGCATTTTCGCACTCTACCCGTTGTGATGGGATTGCTATTCGGTGTTGTATGATGCTCCTGAGGTGTAACTACACTTTATGGAGAATGTGTCTGTAGATTCTTTGTGATCAATATGGTGATAGAACAAAGGAGTATCGCCAAAAGGAGACCCGCCGAGCGGAATCGTATTTATAATGAGGTCGTTCAAAAGAGTATATCAATGGGTATCTTATTTAAATTTGTCGGCGTTACTGGGTATCATTTTTCGCAGGACTGCGAGCTGTTTCATTAAGGCAATCTTCCTCTGATCAGCAAGGTTACGTCGATCGATTCGTCTTGTCCCGTTCGAGAAGACGACAGTGTTGTCAGGCAATATTGTTCCAGGGGCAATCTTTGTCATCTGCGTAATAGTGCAGTTCTAGATATTGTCAGCTCCTGATCACGAAGATGGGGTTTCATATCTACCTTGCCGATCCTAGCACCACTTCCGATAGTTGACCCAGCGTGAACTACCGTACCCTCGCCGATCTCGGTATTGCCAGCTTCAATAATACTGCCTGCCTCGATTGTAACAAAGTCTGCCAGCACGATGCCACCACGTTGCGCAGTATCAGGGTCGACAGGGCGAGTTCCCAGGTGTGTTCGTTCGTGAATGAGACATCGTCGCCCGATAAGAATAGATCCGGAGTTTGACTCAAACTTTGATCGAGGGTGTACTACCGTTTCTGATTGTATCGTGATCGAGTGTGTTCCTTGGAGAATCGCATTGTCGGAGATGGTCAGGGAGTCTGAGAAATGGACGGGGGGCCTAGGACCACTGCGATCGATAGCGGGAAGAATGGAATGTCTTTTACTAGACATGATGAATGTGACTCAAGTTATCATTGCATAGATATCAATGTGCTAGGGTTGGTCATTTCTCATCAACACGGCGGAGGAAGCCGAGACGAAGCTTGTATACAAAGCCCACGATACTCGAGTTGGTGTTGCGACACCGCAGATGGAGTCCGTCGAATAGAAACACTTCCTTGACTGCTTACGTGATGCAACGCTACCAGGATCTATGACTCCAGGATATCGGTTGGAGGCAAATCGGGGGCGAAGGGCAATTGATGCGCTTAACAGAAATGATAAGAAGGACTTGTGTTAGTATGTGAGAATTGGTGTGGAGTAAAGTCCTGGCTAACTCGGGTGGCTGAATAATCGCGTAATGGATTGGCCAATCACTAGCCCGCTATTTCTGAACGGCCTGGTCACGAAATGGATCTCGCCCAGGAAACTTGAAGTGCCGCAACCTGACGTTCAACCATCTCCAAACCGCCACCCGACAACGATCGAGCACAATGCTGTCCACGAGAACGGCGCCCAAGAAGGCCGTCGGCCTCTCACGGACCGCCGTGAGGGGTCTGGCTACTGTCCAGGACGGCGCCCCGAAGCGAACATACGGTGGTCTACGAGACCAGGATCGCATTTTCCAGAACCTCTATAACCGATATCCCGTAGACCTCAAGAGTGCTAGGAAGATGGGCGATTGGCACAAGACCAAGGAGATTATTCTCAAGGGACACGATTGGATCATTAGCGAGGTCAAGGCCTCCGGTCTTCGAGGACGAGGTGGTGCTGGTTTCCCCTCGGGTCTCAAATGGGTAGGTTTCTCCAAGATTGGTTTTACGGGTCAAGAGACCGAACCAGCATCAATTGTCTCTAACCCAACGCTCTGTAGTCTTTCATGAACTTCAAGGACTGGGACAAGGACACCAAGCCCCGTTACCTCGTCGTCAATGCCGATGAGGGTGAGCCCGGAACCTGCAAGGACCGCGAGATTATGCGAAAGGACCCACACAAGCTCATCGAGGGATGTCTTATTTCTGGCCGAGCCATGAACGCAACCGCCGCCTATATCTACATCCGTGGTGAATTCGTCGAGGAGGCTGCTGTTCTCCAGCGAGCCATCAACGAGGCTTACGCCGCCGGCCTGATCGGAAAGAACGCCTGTGACTCCGGCTACGACTTCGATGTTTACCTGCACCGAGGTGCTGGTGCCTACGTCTGTGGTGAGGAGACTTCTCTTATTGAGTCTCTGGAGGGCAAGCCTGGAAAGCCTCGTCTTAAGCCTCCGTTCCCTGCTGCCGTCGGTCTTTTCGGATGCCCTTCAACTGTTACCAACGTCGAGACTGTTGCCGTTGCCCCTACTATCTGCCGACGAGGAGGAAGCTGGTTTGCTGGCTTCGGCCGTGAGCGAAACCAGGGTACCAAGTTGTTCTGTATCTCTGGCCATGTCAACAACCCCTGCACTGTTGAGGAGGAGATGTCCATCCCTCTGCGTGAGCTGATTGACAAGCACTGTGGTGGTGTTCGAGGTGGATGGGATAACCTTTTGGCTGTCATCCCCGGTGGTTCCTCTACTCCTGTTCTCCCCAAGCACGTCTGTGATGACCAACTGATGGACTTCGATGCCCTCAAGGACAGCCAGTCTGGTCTTGGTACTGCTGCTGTTATCGTTATGGATAAGAGCACCGATATTGTCCGAGCTATCAGCCGCCTCAGCCACTTCTACCGCCACGAGAGTTGCGGCCAGTGCACACCTTGCCGAGAGGGTAGCAAGTGGACAGAGCAGATGATGAAGCGATTTGAGAAGGGTCAGGCCCGTGAGCGTGAGATTGACATGCTCCAGGAGCTCACCAAGCAGGTTGAGGGTCACACTATTTGCGGTAAGTTCTCATATCAACCACCCATCTATAACGCTGTACTAATGATGCTTAGCTCTGGGAGAGGCCTTCGCCTGGCCTATTCAGGGTCTTATCCGACACTTCCGACCTGAGCTTGAGGCTCGCATCCAGAAGTTCTCTCAGGAGCATGGTGGTGAGGCCCTTGCTGGTGGATGGAACCATAATGCCAGAGCCCAAGGCAAGTTGGTGTCTCCCGGTCAATAATTGGTATCTTGAGTAGAAAAGGGTATGGAGAGGAAAGAATTAAGCTTGACGTGTCTTGCATCGTACTTGTGCATAACTACAACTATTAGGTAGATGCCATGTGTTATATTTACTTATTGTTCAATGGGAGTAAGAGTTGGTTAAGTAAACTATGTCTGTCTGCGCGACTCATCTTCATGTCAACATAGAAACAGCTTAGATGCATATGAGAATATTGTATCATTCACTCATATTCAAGTCGCTTCAAATTGCCGTATTCATATACGTGGATGTAAGGATCCACTATCATTGAACTACTGGCTGGCCCCATCAACACCGCCTATTCAACAAACAACCTAACCACCAGGGGTCAATGATTTGTAATTTTCTGTTCATTTGCATTAGACGTATATAAATTCGTGGCATAAATCTCGAGTTCTTTCAATTTGTATCTTACACCTCTGTCTTGGTAGACTAGCAGTTATGGTGGGAACATATGAGCATTTTGTTGCCTTTGGCACTGATCTTGGTATTTCTCTCACAAATCCTTGCAAGACACACTAACTAACTATTCTCAGTCGGCATCGAGCGAATCCTCCGTGGTTTTCAAGCGATATGCTCTCTTCTAGTTTGGTACCCGGCTCTGTTTGCTCTCGTCCAGCCTAAGGTCTCATCAACATTATCTCTCCGTGCTTTGGGCAGCCAGATCAACGTCTCCAGACGCTTCATTCGGTTCTTCCGCTTTTTAGACACTTTCCGCGCAGGATGGCTCGTCTACGTCGCTCAAGGCGATAAGAGCCTTGATATATGGCTCGATATCATTAGCAAGACTTGCTTCGGCATGTTCGGCATGATGGAGACTCTGACCCTCCTTGATCTCTGCGGCATCGAGAACCTCCGTGTCTTTAGTCCTGAGAAGTTCCAGGAGATTGATTACCAGTCACAACTTTTCTGGTTCGCTGGATTGTACACTTCTGTTCTTGTCACGGTTATCAGACTGTATCAATTAGTCGCTGGCACTCCTGCCTCTGTCAAACGCGAGACTGTCAGCATCAGCTCTACTGAGAAGCCAGCCGAGCTTATCACTACAGAGAAGGAGACTGCCGTTCTCTCTGAAAAGATGACCAAGGATGATCTCGACAAGGAGCGTGAGCGTCTCAAGAGCATCGTCAATAAACGCAAGACCGAGAGACGTGCTTGGATCAAGAAGTTTAAGAGGGAGGGCTACGTTCTCCTCCGCACTCTCGTGTCTGATCTCCTTGATATGCTTCTTCCTACCACTACGGTTGGCTGGGTCAAGCTTGAGCCTGGCCTGGTTAGTTTGGCCATGTTCTTCACCACCTTTACTACAGGCCAGGCTGTATGGGAGAGGGTTGGACAGAATCTTCAACGACAGAAGCAGTAGAGGATGGAGGTGAACAGCAATGTTCAATTCGTATCTCACGTTATGCTACTCGAAAGCTATCTATACCGTCTGTCACTGTGACAGCAAAATACACTTTACTCATAGACTACATCATATGCACTTTTCCAGCTGGATATTGTTCTCAGAACATTACCGTAACGGGCTAATCCATGGTCTTCCTGGCCCCAGTCTTTTGTACTAGATGCTACCCTCAGACGAAAGAGATAGAAGGGCAGGTAGTGGGTTTCTTTAGCAAAGTTCCGATTTGGTCTTTCAGACCTCAGAAGCCATCGAGTCGCGGGGCTCAGAAACTTCGTCTCGGAAGACATCGAGGTCGGGAATCGAGTACAGGTAGTCCTGCTCGTCCTCGCCCCTGTAGACAACGATCTTCATCTTGCGGAAAAGACTGATCAGGTTGAGGACAGCAATGGCCGACTGCATGATCCTGTCATACACTATTAGCATCACTTGAATGACCGAAACCATTAGTCGTATACTTACACAACAGTAAGACTCAGACCCGAAACATTTGCGTGATGATACCAGTTATATGTAATGAAGGACAGAACACTGGGCCCGATGAAGAAAAGACCGAAAGAAAAGTCGATAGCGCTGACAAGATAAGTCCAGGCTCCACGGCTTGTGCGTGAGGCGAGCGAAGTCGTGCCAATGGTGCAGAAAAAGTTTCCGATCTTGAGGTCGAACTTGTTGCTCTTCCTGCCGGGGAGGAGGCTCTTGAAGACGCGGGACGCATGCCACATAACCAAGAAAATTCCACCCATCGCGAACGCGGCGGCTGATCCTGGGGAGGCCAGGGGCATGCAGATAAAAACTACATCGGTGATGACGATAGGGACAACCATCAATCGTAACAACATAATAGGCGAGAAAGCGAGTCTGAATACGGGCGTCTTTCCATTGTCTCTATCCTCCCGCTCAGATGGTGACAGCAGCGCAGCTGCAGGGTCCTCTCTGGGTAGAGGCTCATAGGAAGGCTGTCCTGACTGGTTCTTGGCCGCCATATTGAAGTATCGATGAGTGATCCGTGAGTTTTATGTTCAGCCTTGTAAGTTGTGATACTGGTGTCTCATGGCGGACAGCTCAGTACTTATACAATGACACTGTGATGGCACCCACAGGGGCATGATGTGACAAAATAAAAGCAAAATCATATCCTATCTAGGAAACCGCCGCGGTTACTCTGGTCTTTTGCAGAGGTCTAGCGCATGGAGCGAAGGATCATGTTTCGTGCGTGCCTGGCACAGCCTTAAAGCTACATGGTCCGAGTTTCCATGGCAATGGCTGCACTAACAGTACTATTTTCGCTCGTCTATTCGCCAGGGCTGACGCAGAAAACATGCAGTTGGTTGTCATGACTGTTTCGGGTTCATTTGTGGATCAGAGGTTGCGTAAGCCTTTGCTTGAATTGGGTCCAGAACTCCAACATGCCATCAAAAAGACCAAAACTTGGGGGAAGTATTATCCCATCTGGCCGTTTGAGCAATGAGATGTCGTGAGAATTGCCGATCTGGTTGATCCAGGTCAATGCGGAAGATTTCCAAAACATGGTTGAGATAGCCGCCGCAAGGCTTTCTTAGCTTGGCTTTTATCGCCTACCCTTGATGAGAAAGCGTCCAGTCTCAACCTGCATCTTCCACCCGTCTTGGAGGAGAGCTGCAGCTACAGCTTGTCTCAGCTGTGACACACCACCAGCACTATGGCGGCCGAGTCCAGTTATGACAGTAAACGGCTGCTGTCGAGCCTTATCAGACCGAAACTCTCCTAAGCCAGCCCACCAGGACTGGACTCTCTCGCGAGCAATGCTCACACCAGACTGCACGTTAACGCCGTGTAAGTCAATCGAAGTTGATGTGCTTTGCTTATCAACGAGTAGATTTGCCGCCGTTGACGTAGCATGCATTTCGTATCGAGCCTGCTCTCGTGCCCTTTCAGAATAATAACCTGCTGCCTGTCGATAGAGTGGATTAGAGGCACCACGTCGATTTAAGGATGCTGCCGAAGCGGCTGCTTCACGTTTGGCTCGATTGTATTGGCTGGCTCTCTCAGCAGCTTGCGCGTACGCTGACGAGCCGACGGGAAAGCTCGTGCTTCCTGAGACGGGCCGGGCTAGCTTGGATTTGCCTCGCGTAACTGTCTCGAATCCTTCGATGTCCTCTACAGGCAGTGGCGTCAGTTGATAACTGACCTCAAGCTTCTGGGTCCAGGGATTCTTGACGAAATGTTTGCTAACAAGCGCCGCGATGTCGTCTGATTCTTGCGATATGGAGTCCGTAACCTGAACGATTGTCGACATAAACTTCTCTGGGACATTTTGATACTTTTGGGCCAGCTCCTGTGCATATTTCTTGCCCTCTTTATCGTGGGTTTCGATGCCTTGTGACATGTATCGATGCAAGATCTCAACTGCAGCGGCACCACTCGCACAGCGTTTGTTGTAGTAGATCTCGGAGACTACTTCAAAAGGTAAGTCCAGCCTGTCTGCTAGATATGCGATCTCGTCCTGGCCTACGTCGGACAGTTAGTTATCACATTCTGGTAAATGATTGGTTAGAACATACGCTTCAACTCTTTTAGGTCATCGGGGGATGGAGAGGCAGTTCCGCTGCTGGATGATGGTGTTTCGCTTCCGAGAGCTTTCTTGCCCTTCTTCTTGTTCCTTTTTTTCTTCTTCCCGGCGGCTTCGTCAGGCTCAAAGAATCCATTAATGCCCTTCTGCTCTTGCCCTGTTGATTTAAGATACTGGATGTTCAGTAGGTCATCGAGCGCAGTCTGCACATCACCATTTGCCTTTTTCAGTGAGTGTTTAATGTCAAATTCCTTGAGCTCGCTAAACATGCTTTGGAGGAGAAGAACTTTATTCTCCTCGCTATCATCATCGAATGAAGTAAGTCTGGGTATGGAGTAGGTTGTGTTTGCTGTCGATGCGGTTTGATCGCTGGCGGAAGTGGTATCTGTGTCGTGAGCACGAGAGGCCTGCTGGCTGCTTGTCTCAACTGTACTCTCGTCGCCATTCACATCTTCAGGCATATTCGAGATGCCACTTGGGTTGAATCCAGTTGCTTCTTCTGTTGTGACATGCTGGGCAAGGTCTTCTAAGACAGTCTGAGCTGACTTATACTGGGAAGCTTCTGTGAGATCATGGTCGCTGGCGATGGCAACTACGAGGGCTTCGTCCAGGAGCGACCTGAATTTTTCCTGTAACATCATATGTTAGAATGAAGCCTGCTGTCTATGACAGTGCATGAACACGATATTATATCTCATAGTCATTCTCACGATATCTTGGTGCCATACTGGCTCGAAAGTTCGCTTGTATGACTCGGCAACTAGATATATACGCGCTGAAATCATCATAACAATAATAAATGAACATACCACCAGCTTCTGCACAAGCTCTTCTGAGGTTTCCGGCATCTTGGGGGAGGGATAGTGTTGTGATATCTGTTATGGCTGGTTCCAGAATAAAGCATGGTACTTTATAAGATCCTACAGGTAATAAGAGAAACTATGTCGCTAGGCCTTCAGAGGCTTCCCGTGCTTTATATAATGACGTTGCGAAATTGAAAGGCCGAATGACGCACAGAAAGATTGAAAGAGTCATGGTGTTTTCAGGGCTCTTGAGCGAAGGTGGAGTTAGTGAAGTTGCTTAACCGTATCACGTGCCATGATAACGAGCCTTTAGGTTGCAAAATTGTAAATACAATACAGTTAATGGGTAGTGCAAGACCTAAAGCCTTTAGGTTTATTGAGGGCATTCACAACTGAATTTACCTTTGGGTCTGTTGATTAACTTTACACGGGCCTGTGTTGGGTGGAAAATTGGGGATGCCTGAGCGAGAATGTCTCATGGTTCATATCTTATGGTAGGACCAACTTGGCTGCTTTTGTGATTAGGCTTAGACGATATTAATGGAAGTTGTTTATCTGGCTGGCAGAGTCTTAACTTATGGTGGTCTTCTGTACTACTGCGTTGATTTTTGTCTGAGTTGAACCATTGGAATCGGAGCAATTAGTGTTACCTAAGTACCTATAGGTTCTTCCAAGTTTCTAGGTCAATGAGTAGGATTAGGATTAAGCAATATATTATATGATATGCTCTCTTAGGCACATATAGTGGTTGGTGTCTGAGAAAAGGGCGGTACATTTTTGCAGTTCTGCTGCTGATATCGATCTTCGTGCATGGGGACAGACGGATACGACTCTTGGACTGCCCTTGACACCTATAGAAACCTTGCACCTACGAATAGACTTAAGGACCCTACTTAGAAGCCAAACCTTACCGACCATGATTTCAATAATTGCTACCTCTATATTACACGAAAGATCAATAAATGTATCAAATTCATCTTTTTGTCTCTAGGGTAGTCAAACTCCGAATGAATCATTGACTGTAGCTCATGCGATGGCTAAGCTCAACCCCGGCCTCTAACCCCGGCCTCTTAGACCACAAGGACCACTAAGTTAATCACGCTAGCGAATTAGAGGCAGGCCTAGCCCACAGAAACCAATGACGCAGGTCGGCCGTGACCTCTGCAGCGCCCGCCATCGGGGCCCCATCCAAGCTTTCCATTGTACCCGTCACCGAGCTACCTGCTACGGTTACGGCTGCTGCTGCTGCTGCTGCGCTACGACATCACCATCTGCCTCCAAGTCTGAACCTGCAACCGTTTCGGTTGCGCCTACTTTGTCGACGCGTCGTCTTTAGAGTTTCACCTCCACTTGAGTCACGTTGCTCAATTTCTAAACTTCAATTCTACAATCTATTATGATTGCTTTTCGAACATCTTAACTACCATCATCATCCCACGCTTATCGTCGCATCGTACCTGTCGTACGTCAACTTGAGAGCGATATCAACACCAGACTTCGATCGCGACCAAGTAGGCCTACGACTCCATACATATCCCCCGCCGCGTGCGGCTCCCTCACTTCGAGATGCATCAACGCATCGTGCCTCAGCTTGGAGCTGTGGCTGCGCTTCTTGCTGGCCTCGGCTTTGCTGAGCAGTATACTCCGAAACATGAAGCTGGACGATGCGCCTTCCGCGGCCACTGTGGAAAGCAGAGTTTTTTCGGCAAAGAACTTCCCTGTGTCGACAATGGTTTGGCCGAAGATCCCGACGAAGAGCTTCGTAACGAACTCGTCGAACTTTGTGGCCAAAAATGGAAGACCGGACCTGTTTGCTGTAGCCTGGATCAAGTGAGCATATCCCATGAACCTTCATGCTACCTCATACTAATATGCGATACATAGATCAAAGCACTCAAGTCCGAGCTCGGTACACCAAGTACACTCATTGGGTCTTGTCCAGCTTGCAAAGACAACTTCTTCAACCTCTTTTGTACATTCACATGTTCTCCGGACCAGTCTCTCTTTATCAATGTTACCGACTCTGCCCCCAAGAATGGCAAGAAGCTCGTAACAGAGCTCGACCAGCTCATTTCAGAGAAATATGGCTCTGGTTTCTATGACAGTTGCAAAGAAGTCAAGTTTGGCGGCGCAAACAGCAAGGCGATGGACTTGATTGGTGGTGGTGCTAAGAACTATACCGAGATGCTGAAGTTCCTTGGAGACAAGAAACCTCTCGTCGGTTCTCCTTTCCAGATCAACTTTCCGACTGATTACAGCGACCGCGACCTCCATCCATTGGACATGACACCGAAGAAATGCAATGATGAGGACCCCGATTACCGCTGCGTATGTGTCGACTGCCCTGGTGTCTGCCCGAAGCTCCCAGACGTCAAAGACTCCAAGTCTTGCAGAGTCGGTCTTTTGCCTTGCCTCTCATTTGCTTCCATCTTCGTGTATAGCGTTTTGTTGTTAACTCTGATACTCGCCGTCTTTGGCCACATCGCATATAAAAAGTATTCTCAGCATCGTGTTGAAAGGACAAGACTGTTGCATGAATCCTCGCATAGCGATGATGAAGACGAAGGTGGTCCGGTTGACACGGAGGCGATGCGTGAGCGCCCAACTAAGAGATACTGGGTCAACGACAAGTGTGACAAGGCCTTCTATCAGCTCGGTCACATTGCAGCTCGATTCCCTGGGTGGTGCATCGGCCTAAGCCTGCTCTTCGTTGCCATCCTTAGTGTTGGATTGTTCCGTTTTGACCTAGAGAAGGAACCTGCCCGCCTTTGGGTGAGCCCCTCTTCTGCTGCTGCACAAGAGAAGGCCTACTTCGATAGCAACTTTGGACCCTTCTACCGTGCTGAAAAGGTCTTCCTTGTGAACGATACCGATCCCTCTGGACCAGGACCTGTTCTAACTTATGATACACTGAAATGGTGGATTGAAGTTGAGGAGAGCGTTAAGAAGATCGAAAGCCCTGTCTATGGAAAATACTTCCAGGATCTCTGCTTCAAACCTTCCAACGATGCTTGCGTTGTGCAGTCTGTTTCAGCTTACTGGCACGCCAAGGGTGGATTTGACCCCAAGTATTGGAAAGAGGACCTCCGCGCATGCGCCAAGAGCCCCGTGGATTGTCGACCAGACTTTGGGCAACCCATCGAGCCCAACATGATCTTTGGTGGTTACGACGACGATGTGGTTGACGCCCATGCTATCACTGTGACCTGGGTTGTTAACAACGCTCAAGAGGGAACTGATGCCCTTGCAAGGGCTGTTGATTGGGAAAACTCCCTCCGCGACCGACTCCTCGAGGTCCAACAAGAAGCCAAGGAACGTGGCCTTCGCTTGTCTTTCAATACTGAGATTAGTCTCGAGCAGGAACTTAACAAGTCGACCAACACAGACGCAAAGATTATCGTCATCAGTTACATCGTCATGTTCGTTTACGCTTGCATGGCGCTTGGAACTCCTCTCAAGCATATCTTCCGCAATCCTGCTGTGCTTTTAGTTGAGTCCAAGGTAACGCTTGGTCTCGTGGGAATTCTTATTGTCCTCATGTCGATTGCTGCTTCTATTGGGTTCTTCTCATGGGTTGGTCTAAAAGCTACACTCATCATTGTTGAAGTAATTCCCTTTATTGTTCTGGCTGTTGGCGTGGACAACATTTTCCTGATTGTCCATGAACTCGAGAGAGTTAATGTCAGCTTTCCTGACCAAATGGTTGAGGAGCGAGTTGCAAGAGCCCTGGGCCGTATGGGACCCTCCATTCTCTTCTCTGCTCTCACAGAAACCGTCGCATTTGCTCTCGGCACCGCCGTTGGCATGCCGGCTGTTAGGAATTTCGCTGCTTACGCTGCGGGTGCTGTCCTGGTCAACGCCGTGCTTCAAATGACCATGTTCGTCTCCTTCCTTTCCCTTAACCAGATGCGGGTTGAAGACCATCGTTGTGAACTGTGGCCCTGGTGGCAGATCACTAAGGCTAGAATCCACCTTAATGGGGCCAACAGTTTTGCTCAGGGAGGTAGCCGTGGCTCAGATATGGCCGAAGAGAGCTTGCTGCAGGTCTTCATCAAGAACACATATGCTCCACGACTTCTTGGCAAGAAGGTCAAGCTTGCTGTTGTCACAATTTTCCTTGGGCTCTTTGCAGGTGGACTAGCACTTTTGCCCAAGATCCAACTCGGCCTTGATCAGCGAGTTGCTATCCCTGATGGTTCTTACCTGATCCCCTACTTTAATGACTTATACGAGTATCTGGAGACAGGACCCCCAGTGTATTTCGTGACCCGCGAAGTTGATGCCTCCAAGCGAGAACAGCAGCAAGAGATTTGCTCGAGATTCACGACTTGCCAGGACCTTTCTCTTACGAACACACTTGAGCTCGAACGACAGAGATCAGATATTTCTTATATCTCTTCACCTGCCGCCAGTTGGATTGACGACTTCTTCCTCTGGTTGAATCCCATTTATGACCAGTGCTGTGTGGAGCATGGCCAAACCTGCTTTGCTGATCGCAAGCCAGCTTGGAATACCACACTCTACGGCATGCCTGAGGATGAAGAATTCATTCATTATCTCAAGAAGTTCCTTTCAAGTCCTACTGGCGATGAATGCCCTCTCGCTGGCCAGGCCGCGTATGGCCAGGCTGTTGTTCTTAATGATAAAGGCAACCATGTCAAGTCCACACACTTCAGAACCATGCATACTCCTCTGAGAAGCCAGGAAGATTTTATCGCTGCATACTCTGCGGCTCGCCGCATCGCTTCCGATATCAAAGACAGAACAGGCGCGGATGTTTTCCCCTACAGCGTCTTCTACATCTTCTTTGACCAATATCTTAGCATTGTACCGTTAACAGCTGTATTGTTGTGTGCCGCTGTTGGCATAATCTTTGCTGTTGCGACCGTCCTCTTGGGTTCGTTGCTTACGGCAGCTGTGGTCTCTGTCACAGTTGTGATGAGCGTTGTAGACATCATGGGTAGCATGGCACTGTTCAACGTGTCTCTGAACGCTGTTTCTCTGGTCAACCTCATCATTTGCGTCGGTATCTCTGTTGAGTTCTGTGCTCATATCGCCCGCGCGTTCATGTATCCTTCCCGCACAGTGATGGAAGGCAATTGCAATGCCTTCCGTGGTCGCGATGCCCGGGCTTGGACTGCTCTTGTTAACGTCGGAGGATCTGTCTTTTCGGGCATCACCGTCACGAAGCTTCTGGGTGTCTCTGTACTCGCCTTCACGCGATCAAAGATCTTCGAGATCTATTACTTCCGAGTTTGGCTGTCTCTTGTCATTTTCGCCGCCCTCCATGCCCTAGTCTTTTTGCCCGTTGCGCTAAGCATTGCTGGAGGTCAGGGCTATGTCGACCCAGAGAGTGAAGGAACTGCTGCACAAGACTTGACCGATAGGAGATGGCGAGCTATTAGGATTAATGATAACAGTGACTCGGAGGAAGAGTCTTAGTATGAGCGCCTCTTTATGCGACCCAGGATTTCCACAGGCCCTCAAAGTGCGGAAAGCTCTACACAGAGCAAGGCAAGGAACACCGCATTACCAACTGTCCGAGAACAAGATGAAGAGGAGGAAGAAGAAGGACAAGAAAGCAACGGAGGACCCTCTGGAAGTTCCGGATCTAGGCCATCTGTGGAGCAGCGACCTCACAACGACGGAAGACGCAACACGACTTAAACGATCTATTTTATGAACAATTTTGGAATCACCAAGATCAGAGAGTCGTATGCTTAGAACTAGGTGCTTGTCTTGAAGTTGTCCCACATGCCAAAATGCGAGCGCAAAGATTAATGGAACACTCGTGCTTGACATCTTAAAGCGTACTAAGGGCTTGTACTTGAGGCCTTGGTTTCATTGTTGGGTAGAGTCAGCGAATGGGTGAATTAACATACAAACACGGTGCATTGTCTTCTGGGTGTTTAAAGGCGTTGTCGTTATTGGTTTCATGTAGATGGTAACAGGCTCTACAGCGACCAGAACAGTTTTTCTATATAAAAAAATAATACAAGCGTTTCATGAAATTGCCTATTAGCCTAATAACACGAGCCACCTTGGCATCCCATGCGACATGTCTTGGTCTCATGACAACTATTCAATAGATAAGTATCATTTTCTAGTTTCCAGTGGCCTTATTGATAATTTTGAGTTGCTCCCGTTCTTTTTGAGTGTAGCTATGGCTATTTACTTTGACTACGAATAGTTATAAAACCTCATTACTAGAATTTGATAATTGTTGGAGCCATCCTTGGATGTAGGGCCGAAGACTTTGTTTGAATCAGGGGCGAAACGATCTTTAAGTAGCCCAAGTGTCTTGGTCACTAGAATGAAAAAAAAAAAGGCCTTAATAATGAGAGCTGGATGGTTATGCATATAATATTGGAATTTACTGGCGAGAACATGATTTGGGCCGCACTCTGTCATGAATTATATATCAAAAGACTGTTATTCTGCTTCTGCCCATAGCAATGAGTCGAGATATATACTTGAAACCGCCCAAAAAGATACATTCCTTGGTATGACGAAGACACGGGCTTCTTATCCAGCTCTTCTCAAGTGACCCATTCGCTAAGTCCTTATCACGACTTTATGATCGATGATAAATTAAAAAAGTGCAACCCTATTGCCATGATCTCTAGGGATGATGCAATAGGCTTTATCCAGAAGAAGGTTGGCATGCTCTACTCGCTTGGTTGTGAACAATAGCCTGCAGGTCGCCCCAACGGGCTCTCAAGCTCAGCAAAGTAGTCTTAACAGTAGAGCTGAAGCCGGGTGTTGCCTCAAGGGGCTGCATTCTTGTTAGAAAGGAGTGTTGTAAATGTAAATGTGAGTGTGAGTGAAAACTTACAGGGGAAATGGTCTTGGCTGTGTCCTGTTCTTGTTCCTCAACCTCTTCGGTCTCAACCAACATTTCAATACAGTTGCAAATTCCGTTGTCAGGAGTTGTATCAGGAGGCTGAGACGGGGGAGGGGGAGGACCGGAAGTTAAGGGAGGGGGAGTCGGTGGGGGAGTGAGCAGCCCAAGGATAATATGTGCAGTGGAGGAAGATCCATTGGATCGATGCTCTGGTTGCTGATCTGGCTGTTGTCCTGGTGGTTGCTGGTCAGACTTTACATGTCTCCGAATAATGATCATCAACTTACCTGTCGCTGACATAATGGGAGTTGGTTGGGGGAAAAGCAGAGAAGCCTTGATAGAGTGAGTATGTGTAAGTGTAACTGGTAGCGACGAATATGAGAACTGATGGATCTTTAAAAGATGGAAGAGAAAAGACAATTAAGATGCGATATCATGTCTTTATGTAGACAGAAATAGAGATTTAATATTCACCAACAACAGAACGACCCCCTTTGTTGCCTCAACATGCACCATATGTCTCTTATTAACATGAGAGAATGAAAGTATGACGATATAAAACTTTGATAATTTCAATTCTATTTTTATTTCACTATCATGTCGAATCCCATTGAGCTGCCCGACCGCCGAATCAGGCTCTAGAAAAAAACAGCTCAACTCAAGAACAGAAAGTATATACACCACTGCCTCAGGCAGGCGGCAAAAAGGATGCAAAGAGACCCCCTTGGATCATGGCATACGTACTGATAAACATGATTATCCCATAACCCAAATTCTGTCTTTGCCTATCCATGAGGCATGAAGCGACCCACCAATACCACACGGGGTAGGCGGATGATATACGACTGATGATCTGGACGTGATAGTTTGTGATAGCCAAGACGGCGAGAAGAGTTTGCACAGCAGCTAGAGTTCTTACGAGCAGCCTGCACTGTTCGTCTGTGCCAGAAATCATGGCTCGAAGACCTCGGGAAGGTTCTCGCATGACCTCTGTTCCTGATTTGATGAGGATTGTGAGCATGGGAGCTGCAAGGAGGAAGAGAGGAATTTGGTTGGGTGTCCAGTATCTGAGGAAGCCAACGTTCCTGTTTATGTTAGTTGCCACTATTTAATTTGCTTCTGACAACATACCAGTATTCTTCTTGGACAAATGTGTAGATACTTGGGAGAGGGCGTGTACACCAAGGGCGTTGTTCTCCATTATCCTGCACATTGCAATACCTCATCCACGCCAGAATCTGAGGCGCAGCAAAACCAACTGCAACGAACAGCCCGCCAATAACAGGTGCAACTAGCCTTAGAGCTTTGGAGAAGGTGAACCCGCCAAGAAGTGCTGTGAGGCCTTTGATAGCTTCCACCGCAAAGAGAACACCACCAAAGAGTCCATTGCTTCGAAAGATACAGGAAACCCCATATAACAGCCCTGCTCCAATGACGGAAACATTGCGCCTCAGTGAGTCGGGGCTGGCTTTCAGACTCAAGGCAAAAAGAAGATTGCCAACAAAGGACAAGCATGCAAATGTGCTCTCTGCATACGGTGCTGAAAGGAAGAGGCCGCCAGGTGAAAGAATATGCACGGCCGCAGCCAAATATGCAAGTTTCCGATCATTGCATAGCACAATAGTGAGCTGGTACAGCGATAGAACAGCAATAATGTGAGAAACGTGTGAGATGGCAATCGCAATAATGGCATCCCAGCCCTCAAGTCCAAATAACTCATTAATGCCACGTACAACGGCTGGCAGTCCAATGCCAAACGCCCACTCCTGCTCATACACTTTGCCCTTCACCGCATCATGCATGAAATACAGCGCGTCCCATCTCGTCAGACGAGTAGCGAGAGCAGGAACAGGTGTTGCTGGGCCATAGACGATGTTGAAGAAGAGAGATGTTGAAGTATCGTAGTCTGGGCCTACAGACGCGCCGAGAGCGATGGCGAGGAGAAGACCCTTCCAAGCAGTGAAGGCGGCTGTTAGAGAAGATATTGGGTTTGTTTCGTGGTTAAGGAGACCCATTTTGAGTAGAGGGTTGAATGAGCGTGTGAAGTTGGTGATGTGAGGTTGAGGTGAAGGGGTGCGTTACGTGGGGCAGAATATAGTGACACGTTCGCTAACGAGACCTTATAGAAGTGGTGAGATCAACACAGCACAACGAATGGCTTATGTGTGTGAGAAGACCAGAGAACAATTTTGACTGAGAAATTCAATATTTAAGATTCAATATTGTAAGAAAACGAAATAGTAGGAAACATTATTGCCCGGTGGCCCTTTAACTCATCTCATTCACTGGCAAGGTCTGTCACTTCTCATAGGCCTTCATCAATCCATCAATCCATCAACCAACCTCACTTAACCACATATGCACACTCAATTAATATCAACATCAACAAAAATGTCAGCAGAAAATGCCACAAGAAATTTGTCTCGCCCCAGACGAGGAGAATTTCCATCACTGGTAACCATTCCTCCTCTCGTCTCACCTCATAGACTCACAATCATCGTCCTTCACGGCCGTGGCTTCAACGCACAGAAGTTCCACTCACCACTTCTTGCATCTCCTTCTCCCGATCCATCAATATCGTTTCGCCAATCGCTTCCGCATGCTCGCTTCGTGTTCCCGACCGCGCCTCTAGCGCGGGCTACGAAGTATCGCCGTTCACTTATTCACCAATGGTATGAAGGAACTGGTGACTGGGAGCCCGAGGCGCGTGGGAACATGCGACCAAGTATTGAGTACATCCATAAGTTATTGGAAGATGAGATAGAAAGGTTGAGGGGGGATGCAGGAAAAGTAGTGTTGATTGGTTTCAGTCAAGGCGGTGCAATGGCGTTGATGAGTTGGTTGCTTTGGGAGGGTCGGAGTCTGGGCGCTGTGGTTATAATGAGTGGTTTCATGCCCTTGGCTGAGAGTTTAATGGTGGATAATATGGGCGGCGACATATCAGAAGACGGACTGTTCGAAAGGGATAGTGAAGAGGAAGCAAAAAGTCCCCTACAAAGGGCAATCGACGAGCTTCGTGAAGAGGCAGAGCTTAGCCCTGCACCACTAATGACCTGTTTCCCTTTCCTGAACACTTCCGTGTTCATGGGACATGGTAAAAAAGACGAGGATGTTGAGTATTGTCACGGACTAAGCGCTGCCAAATGCTTGGAGCGCATGGGAGTAGAAGTCGAGTTAAAGACTTACCCAGACTTGGAGCATTGGTACTGTCCTGGAGAACTCGGAGATATAACACAATTCATAAATCAGCAGCTAGGCTTATAAACAATTAACATCATAGAGAGGCCTGTTAGATTTGATAACTCATAAATTCATGATATTCCGCTTATGGAGGCATTTCAGATACACAGCACCAGGTCCTTTTATCCAACCCTTTTCAACCACCCATTAAATCTTCTCACCATCGAGAATAACCTTGGCCTCATCTGAAGTCCACCAACTCACACCTTTCTCACCAGGGTAGCTAAATCGATCCATGCTCTCAGGCTTCATCTCAACACTGTATCCAGGCTCAACAGGGGTGGTGTAGTAACCGTCCTTGATAACAGATGGGTGGAAGAAGTGCTCGTGGAGGTGGTCCACATACTCAAGAACAGACAGCTTTCCAGAGACAACAACGTAGTCGATGGTGCTCAGGTGCTGTGTGTACTCAGGAAGACCAACACCGCCGGAGTGAGGAACAATAGGCACACCAAACTTCTTGGCCATGAGGAGGACAGCAAGGACCTCGTTGACACCGCCCATACGGCAGGCGTCGATCTGACACACATCGATGGCACCGGTCTGGAGGAGTTGCTTGAAGATAACACGGTTCTGGCACATCTCACCAGTAGCGACACCAATGCCATAAGGCTTAAGGGCATCGCGAACGGCCTTGTGACCGAGGACATCATCGGGGGATGTAGGCTCCTCGATGAACCAAGGCTTGAAGTCGGCGAGCTGCTTCATGTACTCAATGGCCTCAGGAACAGACCAAACCTGGTTGGCATCTGTCATGAGAACGTTGCCCTTGTCATAACCAATGACCTCACGAGCAATACCCAGACGCTTGCGGTCGCGCTCAATGTCACCACCGACCTTGACCTTGAAGTGTCTGTATCCAGCGTTGAGAGTCTCCTGAAGCAGACTCTTCATCTTATCCTCCCCGTATCCAAGCCAGCCAGCGCTCGTTGTGTAAGCGGGCACAGCGCGGTTGTTAAGAGCCTCTTCGAGACGCTTAGCCTTGGTAGGCTCCTGCTCCTTAAGCATAGCGACAGCCTCCTCGGGGGTGATAGCATCGGTGATGTAACGGAAGTCAATGCAGCTGACGAACTCCTCAGGGCTCATGTCAGCGACGATGCGCCAGACGGGCTTGTTGAGGGTCTTGGCCCAGAGATCCCAGACAGCGTTGACGACGGCACCGAGAGCCAGGTGGATGACACCCTTCTCGGGACCGATCCATCGGAGCTGACTGTCGTTGACGAGATGTCGCCATGTCTGGCCCCAGTTTGCGACGAGGGAGGAGAGGGTCCTGCCCTTGAGACGCTCGGCGACGTGGTTGATGGCAGCGCAGACGATGTCGTTTCCACGGCCGATAGTGAAGGTCTATACCAAGTCAGTCAGCTACGATTGAGATGGTCTCTGAAGGAATTGAGTACTGACCATTCCGTGGCCGGTGTATTCAGAGTCTGTCTCGAGGATGCAGTAGGCGGAGGAATAGTTGCCAGCAGCGTTCATGGCATCGGAGCCAGTTCCGTCGAGAGAAGTAGGAAAGCGAACATCTCGAGTCTTCCAGCCGGTAATTGTGATTTCACCCATGATTGCGGTTTATTTTGTAGATTCGTAAGGCAATTGTTGAAGTTATCGAGTATGAGAGAGCTCAGTGAAGCATGAGGGACACACTTGAGGTGGGGTGAGCTCCGAACGCGGGGGAGGGGGAGGTTTCAATAGTGAGGAGTTATGATGAGAAGATCACGACGAGGAAGAAGAAGAAGAAGAAATATAAAGTCGTTAAGATTATAATGAATCAATTGAGGCTAAATAGAGACACAGGCCGGGAACGTCATGTTTTATAGCTTCTCCCTTTCGCTGGTCCCTTTTTTTTACTCCTCCCACAGACTCTCTCATGAGACCTCATCCATTGTCACGATGTGGGGTAAAAGAAGAGTCGAGATGCCATGACGACCAATTCTTCTGCGTCTGATTGATGGAATAACGGGACCCGCTCACTGGAAACCCCCATGAAAGTGAATTTGTATATCATGAGAAGCTATCCGCCGGCATGTTCTTGCCGATAAACATGCTTGGGTTTGGGTCTGGAGAGGGGAGAGTTGTAGATTTGGGGGTGGGTTTGGGGGGAGCATTTGTTAGGAGGATATCATCAAGGACTTGATCTACAGTAAGGTCTTGGTGTTGTAAGAAGTACTCATGGTTCAGCGCCTAAGAGCAGTAGACCCCCGCGACCCGCCCCCGCGCAGTAATTGACCTGGTATGAACGGTCTCGGTCTTCCCCCCCGCAGGCAGAATATCCATTATAAAGAGCACGTAGCTATAGGCACTAAGGTATTCAATGTGCTCCATCTCTCCTAGTGGAAATGAGACTGGCTTGAGGGGAAAATAAACCTCGTGACTGAAGTTTATGCTAATGGAGGTTTTAGTGCCTCGCCAAAAAAATCAAAAAATCCATTTAAATTATTATCCGATGTTGAGTTTTGACCCCACGATGTGTCCCCGCGATCCGATCCGAGTACCCCTCACTAACATGGGATCCAATGCGCACAGAGAAAGTCTGTTAACAAGTCAGTTCAACTAAAAGCATTAACTGAATTCCTCAAATTCGTTAAAAATACCCGACGGATAATTAAGCTTCTTTAAAATGATAACTATGGTCTTTTTGAGATTTCAGAAATCCCTCTTATATCATACCATGTCTTGACCGTTTCTTCAATGGGCACGAGAACCATTTCACTTCCCCAACCACCTGAGTAAATTAACTGCATACAGTATCCGTCACCGTCTGCTGGCCATACAGACACTGTATTTCTTTGACTTTTGACTCTGAAGAAGCCTTCTCTCGTTTATCCCGTCGTAAAGACAGAGGTTCTTCATAAAAGGAACCGCCGACGGCCTTATTCTACTCCCTAACGCTCAGTGTCTTGTTGATCAATGACGATTAGGATATTCAAGACCGAAGAGAAACATTTGCGTTCACAACAAATTATTGTCAAAAAAAAGTCTGCGAAGAGAGGCAGCCGGCTTCTACCACAGCCAGCACCCTCATGCATATCTAACTCGCGTACATGAACTTACTCGCAATGACATTGCCACAACTGATGGGATGGCTTCAGAATAACAGCCCATCGACACAAGAGACACGTCTTTTTAACCCCTCACAATGAGTAAATGGGCTCAGACCTCAGTAAGGGTCTTTGATCGATACAGTACGATAGAGGCACACATGACATGACATCAGCTCAAGCTGGATTCAATCACACGCGACGCGGCAGGGCCATACGGATAACAACCGTTTTGGCACTAGGAAGTAGCCTAGTGCGAAGCCTGAGCCTGTGAGGGTGTTGCGGCAGCTGTAAGGCGTTTCTACAGCGCACTCAAGTATGTCTGTCTGTCAGTCGGGTCGGGTGACAGGGCCAGACAGGGAAGGGTCCTGATTATCAGTTGCTGGTGTGGGCTTCACCGCTGCAGAGGCGGGTGGTCCGAGGTTGTTCTCGTCAGATTCTGGAAGAGTTAGAGTCGAGAGGGTGAATCTTGTTTTGGTGCCAACGACCACAATGATCAAGTTGAGTACCGCGGATCAGTTTCCTTTAAGAGGATACAGTACACCCTCGTCTCGGTTACCAGCTGTAGCTGTATCTTTCCGGGCCATCCAATGCCTGTAGTCCAGCCCTGTCAAGCCTGTTGGAGTCTGTTCTGTTCCTGTTGATGCCAGAAAAGTTGCAGGTTGCAGGTTGCAGAATCCCAGTTTTTGATCATCCCTGCCTATCCCCAACCCTTTTTTCTTCCCTTCGACCCATGACGTGGAGTATCCCATCCACCTCGTGGTGCTCTTGATTGGACTTCCACTCTAACCTGCAGCTTGGAAGCCACTTTGGGCCAGGGAAGCGGTAAGGCCTTGACTGTGTCTCTCGGCTTTACTACGTACATAATTACGACTGACTTACCTTACCTTGACTGAACTCTCTCTGCCTGTCTTGTCTGCTGCAGCTTGCACGATTTCGCATTTGCTTTTTCCTACACATCTTCGTCATATAACATACCTCACATATCTCTCCCATGTTTGTCTCCCATGGCTGCGAAATCCCCAGAATTCACCAACCAACGTGACCAATATCAACCAAGATACGCGTAACACACGAGTTTTAATTCACCTCAAATTCTCACCCAAGCGCCCTTGACGACGATCCACGCTTATCACTCACCTTGCATTTTAAATGCTACATCCTGAAACCGCGGCTCTCAACATCAATTTTCACCGCCCGTCATGGAGAACACTCTCGCACGAAGTCACAGTTTGAAGCCTCCCAGGCGCAAACTCCAAAAACCTGACCCGAAACTCAAAAGCCTCAACAAAGCTAAGCGCGGTTCTACCGACTCGACCATGTCTAGCCTCAGCCCTCAGAGCAGTATGTCTTCACCGTCGCAACGACAAATTCAGAACGGCGCTCCCGATTTGAGCGATTCAAAATGGGATCATTATCTTCGACCAAAGACCGTTTTTGTGCCCTCATTTTCAGAGCCGGAGGACCATCTTCAGCCAGAGATCAATTCACCATATGAACCGCCTCAGCAACAGCACCATCAGTACCAACACGAACCTGAATCCGAGCCACCGAGGGCATTCTTCAGTCCTCCACCACGGAGACAATCTTCTCAGCGCCAAATCCCAGAATTTCACCATTTGACCCTCCAGGATCATCATGCGCGGCCATCATTGGACAGCTCTTCTCTCCCTTCGACCGCATCAACTACCTCGACATCATCTATCATGCGACGCCAGGCCAAGACACCAGTCTTTCGAATAGGACAACTAGAGCAACATGCACTTGCGCGCAAGGCGAAGGATGTGCCAGAGAAGACGTCAAGCGTTGAATTGATCGCTGATCAGTATAACGCTGTTCTTGAGTCGAGAGATGGCCCACCAGCGCTGGACTCACAGTTACCATCACGAGCATCGACATATTCATTCGACGACACCCCTCTTCAGATATCTCCCCACGGAGCCAAGCGACAAAGTTTACGGTCATCAAATACGTATTCATCTATGACGGCTATACCCCGTCAGCTGAGACCCAGACTCAGGTCAGCAGCGACTCACGATACGAATGTGGCTGCCGTTGAAGGAGACACTATTTACTTCAAGCCATATTCATTCTCACCACCACCATCTCCCGATCAGACCCCCGGAACACCACGAGGTTCTTGGACAGATGAATTTCGACCACCTTCATCATCAGGGCACTCATTCCAGGAAAACATCAGCCTTCAAATAGCGCTCGATCTACTCACTAGCGAATTATCATCGGTTGTGTCAGGCCGACCACAGCGAAACGGACAAGATACTGCAGCACTGCAGGTTTGGGTTATGATCGAGGCGTACGAGAGACTACGCGATCAACTAACACGGCAACAATCATCAAACGCAGAGGCACAAAAAGTGGCAACCATGTTCGACTGCTGGTTGGCCTCCCTTTACTCGATCCATTCCTCCCTCACAGAGAGCACACTGCCCAGTCCCACAGAATATGCAGGACTAGAAGAAGATTTGGATTAGACTTGAGACAGACATGATGTACACGAGGATATGTGTACGCAAATAACGAACATTATGGTAACTGGCGTTATGGGCGCGGCCAGAGGGAATAACCTGGCATTGGTTAGGATAGGATAGGACAGGACAGGGCAAAAGCGGCTGGAGCTGCGGATAGGATTGGATGGGAGATACCTGGAGGAACTTGTTTTTTTTTAGTTACTGCACTTTGAATTTACCTTGATCAATGAGTTTGATGCTTATCATTGCATGTGAATGAGTTGTGATTGAAGACCATCAGCACTGCCACGTTGAAAAGTGTAGATCATTGAGCTAAGAACAGGAACCAGGAGCCAAGGGTCAAAAATAGATTTCATGATGATCTTGACGTTTGGGTTGCATTAAGTTGATTGTGGCAAGTTGACGATGCTGATTGAGAACCGGATTTTTGAAAGGAGTAAATGATCTTCCAGGCGTACACGGACACATTTACAGGTATCGATACCTCGACGATAATGGTAACTACCTACCTAGAGCTTCGAATACAGTATAAGGCCAATCCATTAAGAATTGGCTTAGCTAGTAAGTGGGCTATACTTCGCTTGTGCTGAGTTAGGTAAACTTTATCAATGGCTGTGTGATTTGATTGAATGACGTAGATGCACTTTTACACTGCAAAGAGAAAGGCATTAGCATCCTTATCCTAGGCAGATATTGATGGAATTAATCAATAATAACTCTGTAGAGATTCAGCATAATGAGACGCAAAAGATAGAGAACAAAAGACGTAGGATCTATAGAGGAAGAATGTTCATTATCTAGTAGACTGAAAGAGTACCTATTAGGAGTGACGACCCACCCTTGCTCAACTCGACTTACGCGATGCGTGAACTACCATCATCTTTCAAAAAGCACATAACGAGAAGCTAGCAACGTGACCGACCAGTTTCACTACGCCGCTTCAATAATACATCATGGACGACGACTACGGTGCAGACGACGAGCTCCTGGCCGCTATGGCCGCAGCTGATCCCACGCCTGCCGCACGATCAGTTCAACAACCCACGCCTACAAGAATCCAACAACCTACACCCCAACGTCTAGATAAAGCACCGCCAGCTGCCTCCAGCGCGGGAAAGGTTGTTCAACCAACACCACAGGCTCTACCTCAGAAGCAGTCTGGTTCAACTATCCTGGTATCTCCGCGCCAGCGAGGAAATCCTGTTCTTACGAGCATTCGATCAATGCCATGGGAGTATAGCGATATCCCAGCTGATTATGTTCTGGGATTGGGTACTTGCGCTCTGTTCCTGAGGTAGCTTTGCGCGTCTGTTTATGTGTTGTCTTGATACTGACCCTTTTTAGTCTCAAGTACCATCGTCTGCATCCCGAATACATCTATACACGAATCCGTAACCTTCAAGGCAAATACAACCTGCGCATCCTCCTCACCATGGTCGACATTCCCAACCACGAAGCCTCCTTGAAAGAACTATCAAAGACATCACTCGTCAACAATGTCACCCTTATCCTCTGCTGGTCCGCCGCTGAAGCCGCACGCTATATCGAGTTATACAAGAGCTACGAGAATGCTACATTTGGTGCGATCCGTGGCCAACAACCGTCCAGCTATGGTGAGAAGCTGGTAGAGTTCGTCACAGTGCCGAGAAGTCTGAACAAATCAGATGCGGTCGCTGTAGTGAGCAATTTCGGCAGTTTAAAAAATGCAATCAATGCTGATGCAGAACAACTCGGTATGCTAAATGGATGGGGAGGTGTTAAAGTCAAGAGGTGGCAGTCTGCAGTCGAAGAGCCATTCAGAGTGAAAAAGGCTGCCAAGAGAGGCGCAAAGGCCTCGGAACGATCAGCAAGACTTGACCAGGCTTTACCTCTTTCGCGGGTCCCTCTACGAGATATGCCATCTGCTGCATCATCTTCGCGACAATCTCCCGCCAAAGATACACCTTCTGCAGAAAAGACAAATGAGCCCGCATCCAAGCAATTCCAGTTTATGGACAACACCGATGATGAAGACGATGAAGAGGCCATGCTTGCAGCTGCTATCGAGGCATCGAAGAAGACTGCCCAGACAGAAGAGGCCACCCGTGCGAGCCAGACAGATAAGGACGAGCAGCTCAGTGGAGGTATTGCTGCTGCATTGGCAAGACTGCGAGAGAATGATTGAACGATTTTACTCTACTCTCATTAGAATTCTTGTCGTCCAAGTGCCTGATTCCCGAACCCCGAGGCTGACTTGGTTTGGTACCACACTATACTCTACATAAAGCCAACCAACTGCAGTTCAATATCACGCCAGAAAGGCATACCGACTCCTGGATTGCTCACGATTGTCTCCTGCCAAGAAGAGCTGAATAGTCTATTCGGACAAAGAGTCGTCAATGGCAGCATAGAAATCTCTAGGCTGGGGAATATACTTTGACCTTATGGGAGTGTGACAATTCCAGGGCGATTACGAGCATCTGCTCAAGAGATTGGACAACGAACATCATCTGGGTAAACAATCTAAGGTGGCGTTGAGCCATCTGATTCATGGAACGAGTAGCTCTCGATTCTGCTAAGATTTACCCCGGATATCTGAGTCCTGCAACACAGCCAGCGCCAATCGATAGCTCCTCCATAACTTATGATCATGAAAGTTGGCATATAAATGAGGTCGCCACGAGAAATTAGGCTACATGTATAATAGGACAGTGGGAACATGATATATCATACAGCCTCACTCACCTCAACTTTCTATATATATACATCAACCAATCTGGCTTTATGGCGTTCTTCGTGCACCGAAGCTTTGAACCAACTCTAGGCCTGCTGTCATTATTGATTTGTTCATAGACGTCACTGTTAACAACATATCATCCACCACTTGGAACGCAGTGATCACATGTCAGGCGAACCATAGGGTTATATCGAAACTTGTATTATTCAATTCGGTTCAGAGTTGAGAATATCATCCGTATAGCTATCATTTCTCGTCAATTGACTTCAGGTCGTAAATCTGGACCTCGAGTCATGCTCGAGTTGTATGCTTAGGCACCTCCATCACGCTTAGCATACTCCTCCTCCATCGCCTCCTCATAAAGTCGATCGGCCTCTTTCTCCTCTTCAGTCTTGGGCCTTGTTACGCCTGCACCAGTGTTTGCGCCTGCACCGGTAGCAACGCCAGTGCTGTGATTCTGTTCTTGTTGCGGGGTTTGAGGAGAAGTGGTTGTTGCTGGCTCTGAAAAAGCGGGGAGACCCATGATGTTTGATTGCGAAGGCTTAGTGTTGTGTGGTGGGCCAGAAGAGAAAAGAAGTCTCGAAACGTATAAAAATTGTGTCTTTTGAAGCTTTTGATGAGACTTGTAGTTGTCGCGATGAATATAAACGAGTCTCTTATACTTGATGTGGCAATAGTGTGGCGAGTGAGGTACGTCACCTGTGGCTCGTGCTACCGTGGAACCAGCAGCAAGGAATGACCTCTCAGACGAGAAAGAACTGAGGATCAATTCCAGACTTTTTGGTTGAGCTCCGTTTTAACCGGTTGCGACAAGCCAGGAGGAGCTGGTTTAGGCTGACAGTTTATCGTTGTCAGAGTAAAGCTTTGATTGGACACTCAGTGCGAACTCGGGCCATTGTCGATCAGGGTCTTACTGTGACATCATTTCGGAGGGTTTATTCTTCTTATTCTTAAAGAGCTTATAAGAAGTGGAAATTAATTTGTAAACTTCTACAAAGTCTCAGTCTTGAATCGAATGAAGGTAGTATACAAGAGCACCGCAGTGTACTTCTCATCCAGCCGGATGCCAGCAGTTCCGACTGGGCCTTAAAACAAATCAGGGTATTTACATCTGCAAACATATCTCGCTTCTCTAGACTCCAAGGTCTTCTTTTATACCCAAGCTAAAATTCTCGAGCTTCACCAATATCGCAAACATCAAATACACCCACCTCAGGTAGGCCTCTCTTTCGTAGAGCAGTCTTCAGCATCTTGGGGGGTTCCATGACTTCCTCCAATGTGAGCGCCCAAGTGCCCCAATGAATTCCCATTGCGCGCTTGCATTGCGTATCGCGGAAGATCTCGACGGCATCCGCCGGGTCTGCATGCACCGGCGAGAAAGCCACACGCGGATGATAGGCACCAATTGGAATTAGACCAAGGTCAAAAGGTCCCCGAAATTCGCCAATCTGTTTGAACTGAGGACATCTCGGAAGATGATCATATTCAGCACTGTAATCATCGGTTCCAGGAGGGAGACTTGGGACCGATCGGTAGCCCGTATCGCCACCAAACCAAACTGACTTCTTGCCAGATCGAACACCCCACGAGCACCATAGGGTAGTGTCACGATCCCACATGGTTCGCGCCGAACCGTGCTGACACGGCAAAGCCATTATCCTGGCGCTGATCTCGCGGGGATTGTCTCCATCCTTGACTGTGACAGTGAGGTCGGCATCCTCCCACCAATCGAGCTCAGTAACATGGTTGATGCCAGACTTGCGGAACCATGTCTCCAGACCTAGACCAACGAAGAATTGTGCGTCTGGATGGTGTTTCTGGACCTCGAGAATGGAAGAATGCGAAAGGTGGTCGTAATGGGAATGGCTGATGCAAACAGCGTCGATAATTGGAATATCTTTTATATCGCATGGTTTGGGCGTATATCGTTTTGGTCCCATGAAGTTGAATGGAGAGCATCGATCCTCGAAGACAGGGTCGAAGAGAACGCGCAGGCCAGAAGGGAATTCGACATAGTAGCAAGCGTGGCCTAGCCACGTTGCACGGATCCTATCGCTTGTTTCGCGCTCGGTATTCCATTGCGGCTTTACCACTGGTACAGTTGGGGGTGTCAAATCGGGGTGCTTCATGTCGCCGGTGAAAGTGGGCCTAGAATCATATCATCAGTTTCTGGACGACGAAGCGCTCTTGACATAGCAAAGTCCTCACATACCACCAGACTCTCCGCACCATGGTACCGAAGTTGGGACTGTATGCATGTGAAGGATAAGGATTCTTGAAGCCCACTAGAGAGCCACGCTTGAGGAGATGGTGAGGGTTGGAAACAGCTTCATCCGGAAGAGCTGTTCGACCAGGTATTTTCGACACGGCAGTGCTAGAGGCGATAGAGCCTCCAGATGAGCCAGGTGCATCCCTTGTAGCCAGCTCCGGAGGCTTCAACTGAGCTGAAGCGGCAGTTGCGGCTGGAGCCATGATGGTAGAGGATGCTGAGGAAAGGGTTGAGTATGCGGAAACAAAAGCCAAGGGTTTAGTATTTTTCGTTGATCCAAAATGATAACTCAGTTGACGGATCGTCAAAGAAGTACGCGGCATGTGGTAGTAATGTCCCAAACCGGAGGCTTCGGACTTTAGCAGAGTCACAGTTGCACCAGGTAGGGGTGTTTGGACCAGGGCAACCAGGCAAGATTATTTAGCATCCATTGATGAATGGGAAGAGAGATGAAAGAGAGGGGGAGAAGAGAGAAGATGAGGAGGTGGAGATGTAGACGTCAGGTAAAAATATGGAGAGACAGAGGCAGAGACAAGACAGAGACACTGAGAGAATGGGTGAAGGAGCTATGACCTTTGGAGTCTAGGCAAGTACATTCCTCGGGACCAACAATGGAAGCATCATGGAAGCTACCGAGAACCAACTTGCCGAGATTAGCACTAGGGGGTGCAATGACAACGGGGATAAAAACTTGGCGGAGTTAACACTGAATGTTGGACTTCCATTGTTAGGCAGTTATGCAGCTGAGACACGAATATGAGGTTGTGCAGTCTGTCTGTACGTAGCCTAAACTGTTCATACCTACTAGTCCAAGCGATACTCAACAGCCCATACTATGGTATACTACTCTCATCCAATCTGTAGTCTGAAACAGATCAATCATAAGTTCTTCAGCTTCATCATAATGTCTCACTTCTGCACTTTGGACCTTGTCCCCTGCTCTTCATAACTCCATCCCCAACTCAATAAATGCCCTACAGCGCCTTAGCGGAGTTTGCATCACTTTTCCGCTCGCAAATTACAACCCCCCGACTCCCCGACCGGGGCAATTAAGAGGATCTTCCGAGGGCATCCGGGGAATAAACGAATCCGAATGCAACAGAAGACTTCTATTGTATCCTGGTCTTATTCTAACGAGCTTCTTGCCCGTTGACTATACTTCGTATTGTTCACTCCAATATCACAGCTCATAAGATATAATACGACCCTGCAGAGAAAAAGAGTCATATCTACGGAGTACTCACGAATCATTGCAGTCATGGAGCTACCCCTGCTCACATCTTCGGGAACCCCCTGACAAGGTGCTGACCATCCTTGTCGCGGCCATGTGGTGCCCATGCTTGCCATGCTACGCACGTTGTCGTCAGCTTATTATTGCAACATTGATGATTGAGAAATAACGTCGTTACGCGTTTTTTCGTAACTAGAGTTTTCGTAATCAAGGCCAGCTATATCAGATAGCCTCGTGGTATCTTTCCTAAAAACACCAAAGCAAACCACCAGGTATCTACCATTACTAACATGTCATAATGCTTAAACTCGCGCTCATCAAAAGCATATCCCCTAGAAAGGGAGCATGTGTACTTTAGACAAGGACCAGTCAGACGAGATTGTGTCCAACTGCTCTCACTCATCCATCAGTCGACCGATTATAAGCCAAACGCCATAAAACAAACCAGAAGGCCGCCCGAAACATTAATCGTCATCATAAGCGTCTCAGAAGATTGCTTCATGCGTAGCTCTCATCACATATCCATCTGTCGAGTCTCCTCGCCCATCTCGTCACTACCGAGCTCCTTCTCGAGTTCGTCTGCTACAAAGCCCTCGTAGTCATCAAGGTTCTTTTGGACATGAATCTTGAACTTGATGACATCGTTGAGCATTCTATCAATCTCAGTGTGAAGCTCTTCTCGGAGAGCGTTGGCCTGAAGCACAAGTTGCTCGTATCTGTTCGCCCCGTCAGTACTTGTCACTTTAATCAAAGGCGCGTGTGTCCACTTACTCAATTGTTGTGTTGATCTCACGCTGCTCCAGAATTTGCACGTTCTCAGACAAGCCAGCTCGCATACGCGATAATTCTTTCTCCATCTTCTCAATATGTGCGTCAGAGGCCATCTTCTGTGCTGTCGACACCTCTTTCGTTCTTTCATACTCCTCTTCTGCTGCTCGAACACGGTGATTGAGTGCCTCCACTTCACTGCGCCTGTCCTCGATGGCCTCCTTTATGCCATCAAGCAGATCGTGATCCTTCATCATTTCTTCCATTGCCGCTGCTCGGCGATCTGAGATTTCCTTGCGTAGCGATAGGAAGCTGTTTCGGATTTGTCCCCGAAGGTCCAAGTTGAGAATATGACCTGCTTGGTATCCAGTGGTGGCGTCAACAAGGAGACGGTCCGCAGATGATGGGCCTGATGATCCCTTCAAGTTGGTAGAAGTGAAATCTGAGCTATCGGCCACCATGACCTGGAGTTCAAACTCCCTGCCCTTGGCGTTGGCTGCCGTCGAAGGGATTAGTGCAATCTGATACGCCATTGTGTTGTATCGATCCACCATTTGCTCCAATTCATCTAGTTTTCGGCTCGCCTCAGTCTCTCGCTCTGTCACCTTCTTCTTTACTTCCTCCAGTCGTTGGCCAGCTGACTCAATGCCGCGCTGCAATCGCTCCCGCTCTGCAGTCATGCGGTCAATATCCTGCATGCTGATTCCTTGGGCATCCACAGCTTTTTGTAGGCTTCGTCGCTCCTCGTCGGCCTCTTGAAGCTCTTCCATGAGTTTGTCGAGCTCTTCTTGAAGGACTTGAGACCGGCTCTCGTACTTCTCGGACCTTTGCATCGCCAGGGCATTATACTCCTCAAACTTGATCTTATCCTCCTCCATAATCTTGAAGTGGTTATCGAGAACTGCAGGGTCGGGTGTTGACTTTTCCAAATCCTCGATTTCCTTGAGAAGTCGTGCGTTTTCAGCTTCTAGCATTTCGAGCTCTGATGTGTATTTGGAGTTTGATCGCTCAAAGGCGGCTGCCATGGATTGAACATGAGGGGCCAAAACGCGTTCAGCCTCCTCATCACCCATATCCTCGTCCATAGCCAACCAATCCCGGTAACCATTGCTGAGGAAGTCAAAGATGATGCGGTCGCCACTAACGTCAATGCCGCTCTCCATACAAGCCTCATCGTATTGGCAGTTTACATAGCCGTCGAGCATCTGTGCGAGTTGCATCATCCAGTGAAGAAGGCCAAGGAATGTACTCCAGTTCTGTCCTCCGACAGCAGCAATCTGACTCTTTGTGATACTTCTTTCGAAAGGGTATCGCATCTGCTTGAGTAGAGGAGGCACTTCCTGGTCGATATTCTTCTGGAACTTATGGCTGGGGTCTATACGATGATAGAGCCACTGGAACATGTAGTTGAAGTCCTTCTGCGTCGGCGATTTGAGGACATTTTGCGAAAGAACATGCTTCATCTCCATTTCGAAGTTGTGTTGAACCATGTATTCCAAAATTTCTTGTCCAATACGAGCTTGAAAAGATCGATCTTTCAGGGGTCGCGGGTCGCGGGGTACACCAGCTGGGGCTGGTGTAGTTTG